ACAGAGCACGTTTGGGACTTGGGAAACCTGAGGCACGCAGGAGCCGCATGGGTGGAGACAGCTGGAGCAGCACAGATGGCGGATCAAAACTGGGCAAGGTCACTTCTCATGGTGAGCTTCCTCATGACATGCTGGGCCTGTTTTGTTTTGTTTTTTGAGTCAGGGTCTTGCTATGTAGTTCAGACTGGCTTTGAAGTCACTAGCAATCCTGCCTCAGCCTCCCAAATGCCGGGATTACAGGCATGCACCACCACGCCCAGCTAAAAGGCAAGTTCTGGCTGGGGATATAGCTCAGAGGCACAGTGCCTGCCTGGCAAGTGTGAGGTTGTGAATTCAATCCTTGGCACCCCCCCAAAAAAAGGCAGGTTCTATAAACCGGGCACGGTGGCATTTGCCTATGCTCCTAGGACTTGGGGGCAAAAGGATTGAAAGCTTGAAGTCACCTTAGGCTACATGGCAGACTCAAGGGTAGCACGGATTGCATAAAATGGGGCGGGGTGGGGGGGGACAAAAAGAAAAGAAAGGAGCTGCAGTGCACACCTGTAATCCCAGCACTCGGGAGGCAGAGGCAGGAGGGTCACCCTGAGTTCAGGGCCATTCTGGGCTACATAGCAAGACCCCAACTCAAAAAATAAGATACAAACAAAACAAAACAAGAAAAGAAAATGCAGGTTCCATCCTGTAGATCTGGGGCAGGAGCTGGGAGTCTGTGCTTCTACCCAGCTCTCTGAGATTAGGACCACGGTATGAGGAGCCGGAGATTTAGCTCAGTGGCACCTGGCGAGTGCAAGGTTGTAAGTTTGATTCCCAGTACCAAAAAAATAAAAAAGAGGGGGCTGGGGATTTAGCTCAGCGGCATAAGCGCCTGCCTTGCAAGCAGGCAGTCGTGAGTTCGATTCCCAGTACTGAAAAAATGAAAAAGACAAAAATAAATAAATAAATAAGAAGGACCTTGGTGCCAGCACAGCATTTTCTGGCTTAGGAACTGCAGGGCCGACCGTGGATGTGGACAGGAAGGGAAACGCGCTGGGTGGATGCTCCCAGAGGACGCTGCTATCACCAGGGTAGAGACAGACAGGCTCTCGAGCTGTTTCCATTAGCACAGCCCGAGTCCCAGACATTATTTGTCCCTGAGCTGGAACGTGATATCAGGGTCACCGAGGCCTGAGGAAACCTGATTTGAGAGTGAGAGTCAACAGGGAAGGGAAGGGGCCTCGGGGCCACGTGGGGGTTGAGGAGGAACTAGGAAGGGTGAGAAGGTGACCAGGGATGTGGGAGGGAAGCAGAACTGAATGTTCTGGAAGCCAAGGGAAGAAAGACAGACCCAGATTTGCATTATCCACTGACTCTCCCCTGCCCTGGGGCCTCCCGCCCCAGAGCCTCAGTTTCCTTCATTATAAAATTGAACACGAAGGTCTTGGTCCACGAGGCAGTCTGCAAAGTGGCTCTCTTCTTCTCCGGCCCTTCGAGCTCCCCAGGCCAGCAGGTCACTCTTTCCTATGCAGATGAGGAAACTGAGGCCTGGCCAGTGTGGGGCAGTCAGGCACCCTGAATCCCTGCCCAGTGCCCTGTCCCTGCCTGCAGGAACTCCACAGCCTCTGGCTCCAGGCCAGTGCTGGCGCCGCCAACCGCCTGGGGACCCCTGGGGCCACCTGGAATTCCTGAGGTGGCCTGAGGCCAGGGCAGACGTGCTCTGGGCTCAGTGCCTTCCTGCCCTGGAGGAGGAGGAGGAGGAGCAGGAGGAGCAGGACAAGCATCTGCCTGCTGAGGGGTCTAGACCTTGGCTCACCACCAAACGTCTCTGGTGTGTGCACGGGTGGCGCCTGGAAACATCTGTGCCCCACAGGACACAGATGGCTCCACTGTCACAGGCTGGGGAGGGCGGGTAGGGCCCAGGTGGGGCAGGGCATAGGGACCACCTTGGGCCTGGAGGAGGCCAGAAACCTGCAGAGAGGGCCACCATGCATGAGCTCAGAGGAAGGATCCAGGGCATGTGTCCCCCTCCACTTTTTTTTTTTTTTTTTTTTTTTTGCCTTTTTCCTTTTTATCGGTACCAGGGATTGAACTCATGACTGCCTGCTTGCAAGGCAGGTGCTTATGCCACTGAGCTAAATCCCCAGCGCCCTCCACTGCACTTTTCTGTGACCTCCCAGGGGTGGGCCAGGCTGAGAGGGCAGACGTGTCCCTTGGAGTAGAGAACAGCTAACCAATCTGTCCCCAGCTGCAAGCCCTTGAGCTTCCTGGGGACAGGGGTGCCAGTCCAGGACAGGCGCCTCCTGCTAAGGACCGGGAGCCGAGCCTACCTTGAGGTGTCTCAGTCTCTCCATGCCCCTCAGCTCTGCCTTAGCCCAGGTTAACTCCAATAAACCATCTCAAGGCCCCAAAGGTGCCTGGTTCTGGGCAGGTCTGTCCTCATGGGGCATCTAGTGGCTGAGCATTGAAGGGACACTGGGCATACAGTTGGAGACCTGGGGGTTCTCCCCTCTTCCTTCCCCCTCAAGACCTTGGGTCAGGGCTCCAGGACCCGCTGAGCCTCCTGAGAGGTTTTCCTCTCACTGGACAATGTCTGGGTTCTGCTTTGTGTCCACCTGGGGTCTCTTTCTTTCTCTTTCAGTGTTTTAAGGCAGGGTTTCACTATGTAGTTCTGGATGGCCTTGGACTCACTATGGAGCCCAGGCCAGCTTCAAACTCACAGGGATCCTCCTGCCTCAGCTTCCTCAGTGCTTTGCTCACAGGCACGTGCCACCACAACTGGCATCTGGGGCTTTCTAAAGAAGCGATCAGGTCTGTTTATAACCTGAATGGGGGTTGTGTAGCAAGGAGGGAAGTAGGAGGGAAGAGATTTGGGAAGAGCAGTAAATGGGGTCCTTGTGGCTGCCCAGAGAGCCCGCCAGCCCCTCTCAACAGCAGCTGCTCATCTTTAAGCTGCCCCAGTCCCTGCACTGTATGCACCAGCTCCAAACTCAGCTCAGGAGGCAACAAAGGAGGAGCCCACGGGGGCCTCCATTGCCAACCCTCAGTCCAGGTCACTTAAACCTCTGGGAGCCTCCTCTGTGGAATGGGGGTGTAACAGGATGGCCTCTGGGGTGTCTGGGAGAAGTCAGGGCTGATAAGGTGAACGCCTAGGGCGGGCCCTGGTGCAGGGAGCGCCTGGGGCTGGGTTAACCGTCCCTGGGGCGCAGACCCTGTGGCAATGCCCCCAAAACCTCACAGCCCCTCTCCTCCCCACTTGGCCACCATGGCCTCGGTCTCCACGTTGCAGCCACTTCCAAGGTGGCCTGCTGGCCAGGGTGGGTCCTCCAACCCCATCAACCCATGGGGAGAAACTCTCCCCTCCATTCCCCACCTAAGGAGCCACGCGCCACTTCCTGGTCTGTGCCAGCTCCTGTAGGGCACCCCACAGCCGGCCAAGCTCACCAAGGCAGGAAGGACCCAGGCCCAACCCCTCCCCCAGAGGCTCGCACCCTCTCTTCCCTCCTTGAGCCTCGATGTCTCCATCTGTGATGCGGGACAGCTCTGCCCACGCCCTTCAGCTCAGACCCTCCACGGCTCCCACTGGCCCTCAGAATAATGTCCTGATATCATCTGCCTCTCCTGGATTCTTGGCACCTCCACCCCTCCTGCCCCACAGAGGTCAGAGCCCCCGCATCTGTGCCTCTGCCCAGGGTGGTACCCCTGCCTGGCACACCCTCCTTGCCCCTTCCTTCTCCAGGTCCCTCCAAGCGCAGCTTGCGTGTCTCCACCCGCAGAGGGCTCAGGCTCCCTCTAGGAGCGCCCCGGGCCTGGCCCAGGTACAGCCCAAGAGCAGAGCCTACTGTGCGCACCGCGAGCATGCGCAGTTCCTGCTCCAGGGGTAGTGTGGGTCGAGTGCCCCTTTTACACCAGGCGCCAGGCGCCAGACTCAGCCCTGCAGTGCCCAATCTTGGGACTCTCACTACAGCCGGAAGAAAGGTGGCACCCCTGAGCGCTGCTTTACAAGGTGGCTCAGAGCAAGCAGAGTAGGAGTGAACCCAGGGCCCCCTGACCTTAGAAAGACCACGAGAGTCTGGGAGCCCCTCCTTCAGGGGTGGTTTGTTTTTGTTTTTGTTTTTGTACAAGGGATCAAATCTGTGACCTCACGCTTGCCAGGCGCTTATGCCGCTGAGCTAAGTCCCCGGCCCCAGGGGTGTCTTTTGTCTCTGAAGGACTTTCTACCGTTTGCGGATTGGGGAGAGCAGACACAGGGTCTGCTGCCCTCTCTGGGCCACAGATTCCTTGCTGTGCCAATTTGGGGTTCTTCCTTCTCAGTCTTGGGTCTCAATTTCCCTGTCTACAAAACAAGGAGCCACTCGGCCAGTGTCAGGCTCGAGACTGTAGCTTCTGTGTCCCGAGGGGACCTGTGAGTGCCAATTTCTCATTTTTCAGGACCAGTTTCCCTGCTTCCTCAGGCCTCGGCTTCCTTATCTGCAAAATGGGAGTACGGAGTCCATGGGGCAGTGCGTTCCCTCCCCAAGGTTTAGCAGAGCTAAAGTCGCCTCCAGGGAATGGGAGGCGCAGCCCTGGGGGCTCTGGATGGAGGGTGGGGTGGGGAGACAAGCCTGCAGCGTGGGTCCTGTAACACCCCCACCCCGGGCCCCCCACCCTGGACCCCCCCACCCAGCGACAAAGCGGAGCGCACTTCCTCTCCCCGCCTGGCAGGCGGCCTGGCCCGGCCCCTTCGCTAAGGAAGCGCATTTCCTGCCTCCCTGGGGCGAGCTGGATGCGCCGAGAGCTCCCGCAGCAGCCGCCGTCGGTCACCCCAGCCTTCGTCTGCGCCTCCGTCCTGAGCCGGGACCGGCACCCTTGTCGCTGTCCACCGGAGCCGGGTCCCCCTCCTCGCCAATCCGACGATCAGCGCCCCCGGCCGGCAGAGTCCCGTGCACGTTCTCCTGACCCCTCGGCCGACACCCCAGAAGGCTGGAGCAGGGACGCCGCCGCTCCGGCCGCCTGCTCCCCTCGGATCCCTGCGCGAGCCCACGCCGGCCCCGGCGCCCGCCCGCAGCCCTGCCCCTGGACACCGGATAGGGCCCCGCGCACCGAGCCCCGGGCCACGGCATGGACCGCGGCGCGCTCGTCCTGGCCTCCGCCCTGCTGCTGGCCGCCTGCAGCGGTGGCCCCACAGGTGGGTGTTCAGGGACCCCAGTCGCCACCTCCTTCCTGGGTCGGAGCTCAACCTCGCGGAGCTGTCTAGGGGTGGGGAGAGGCTCTGATGGCGGGGAAAGGTGACCAACCACGCCAATTTGGTGGAACCGAAGAGTTTCATAAAACAAAGGGCTTTCAGCGTTAAGTCTCAAGCAAAGTGGGGCAGATTATTTACCTGGACGCTGGTCCTTACCCTCTGTCCACCCAGCTCTGTCCAGGGAACCCAGGTACAGAAGACTGTGCAGCCCTGGGAGAGTTCCCTATCTCTGGGCCTTGAGTTTCCCATCCGAGGAGTGGGTGGAAAGGAGGGTGCATGACCATCGCAAGGCTCTGGGTTCAAACTTCATCTTGTTCGCCTGCCAAGGTGATCTTGAGAGACCACCTTCGGGCCTCTGAGCAAAGGACAGCTGCTAACAGAGTCCTCCCAGGATGCAGTGAAGGTCGGTGGTGTAGTCATGCCTGCCGAGAGAGTTGCTATTATTGTCGTTTTATTACAAAGGTTGTGTGTGTGTGTGTGTGTGATTTTATTATTTGTATTTTGAGACAAGGTCTCATTTTGTGGTTCAAGTTGGACTTAAACCGACTGCTAGCACAGATTGGCCTCACGCTCAAGGTAATCCTTCTGCCTCAGCCTCCTGATTGCTCCAGTTGTCACTAGCTTTAAATATCCTCACCTTCCACACAACTAGGCCAAGACTATGGCACTGCCTGCCCTGCCCCTTTTCTGCTCCCAGGAAGGGTACAAGCCAGGCTGGGCTCTGCAGGGTCCTGGCCTCTGCTGCCTACTGAGACTGCCACGGGGAAGGGTCTTGAGGAGTTGGGGACCACAGCATCCCTACACGCACTGTGGGTCTCTGCTCTGTCCTGGGGACACCAGTCATCATCTTGTGCTCCCAGGGTCTTCCTCAAGGAGGGGTCAGCAGAGAGGCTGGCATTTTAAAGCTTTTTTTTTTTAATTTTTAATTTTTAATTTTTTTGTCTTTTTCCTTTTTATCGGTACCAGGGATTGAATTCACGATTGCCTGCTTGCAAGGCAGGCGCTAATGCCACTGAGCTAAATCCCCAGCCCCTTTAAAGCTCTTAATCCTTGGTCTCCAACACTCCTGAGAGACTGGAAACCGAGTCCCAGGGCCATTGAGTGACTTTGCAGGGATTTGGCTCCTGGAAACTTGCTTCTAACCACATGTGACAGGGCAGCCCCTTCTCTACCCACCCTGGGACCCTGCAAGATGGTGGCTGCTGTCACTCATTTCACAGATGGAAACACAGAAGCCTGCTGCCCACCTGAGCTCACACCCAGAGATGAAGCTCCCACCTGGCCTCCAGGAAAAACCTCCAGGCCCTCTTCCCCCTTCTCAGGAGTGAAACAGCCAGGCAGAAGTGCAGATCTGATTTTATAGGGTAGTGATGGGCTTTAGACACCAAGGATTAGAGAGATTTTAAGAGGCAGCGATGCTGGACCTGGTGGCACTCGCCTGTAGTCTGAGCAGTCTGGGAGGCTGAGGCAGGAAGACTGCCAGGTTCAAGCTCAGGAGCAGTTTAGCAACTTAGCAAGACTCTCTTTCAAAACATGGATAAATAAAGACTAAGAATTTAGCACTGTGAAAAGGTTCTGTGTTCACTTTCCAGTACAGGGGGGGAAAAAAAGGAAAGAGGCAATGATGTTTGGTAAAAGTATTTACCTAACAATAGAGGAGCAGAGACAAGGACTTGATTTGTGATGACTGTCCTTACTCCGATATTCTCCAGCCCCGCCCCCCAGCTCTGCACCTGGGGTGGGGTGTGCCCAGCACACAGTAGCTGGAATTTCCCCGTACACCTCATAGGTCAGGGGACCTCTACAGCATGAGTGAGAGTCCATAAGGGAATTAGGAAGTAGTGAGTTTTGATCATTCTTGTGTTTGTAAAAATATGCCATTTATTTTATCATAACTTTGAGGAACTGAGTTCATCATAGCCAAACTGAGGCCAGCACAATGGCGAGTTCAAGGCCAGCCTGAGCTACATAGTAAAACTTTGTTTCCAAAACCCCAAAACAGTAATAGTGGTCACCATATTGAACGACCACTTGGGAAAATTGGTCGTGCTGGTGGGAGCAGGTCCTGTACCCCCACGACCACAGATGAGAGGGTATCATGCTGTTGGCAGCCCCACTGTGCACCCCAGGCAGTGGTGGGCAGCTGGGCTTGGGCCTGAGCATGAGACCCAGATCTCCAGCCCCAGTGCGGAAGGAGTGGGCCAGGCATCTTAAACAGGACAGAGGGGTGAAAATGGTCCACAAATGGGCCAGTCTTCTGGGAGCACAGAGCGGTGGAATTCCCCAAAATTATAACTTTTATTCATTCATTCTCTTTTTTTTTTTCCAGTACAGGAGATTGAACCCAGCCCTTTGCATTAAACTACATTCCCAGCCCTTGTTTAATTTTTAATTTTGAGGCAGGCTGTTGCTAAGTCACTTAAGTTGCCTAGTCTGGGCTCAAATTTGAAATTCTCCTGCCTCAGCCTTCCAGCCTGCTGGGAATACAGGCTTGCACGACCATACCAGCATCTGTGACTTTTGTCCTCCCAACTCAGTCTTAGGCAGTGATGTCTGGAGAGTTACTGGCCTGCTCTGTGGAGATATCTGGCCATGAGGTCCTATAACCAAACCCAGCACCAGGATAACCTAGATGTCCATCAGCCGGAGCCCCAGCCTGCAACTCTCAAAAACAGTGGGACGTGGTGTAGGGAGCCAGGGACAGACGGCACTGTTTGTTGACCCCCTTGACAGGTAGATGTCCAGAGCAAACCCCAAATTGTGACTCCATGTTGTGACTCACAGAACACGAACAGCACACGGTGTCCTGGAGAAGATTCTGAAAGGACTGGTACCCAGAGTGCCAGTTCTGTGTGGGACTGTCCCCAGGGGACTTTCACTTTCCAAAGCACATCTTTCTGTCATGGAGGAATTTTTTTTTTTTTTTAAAGAATTAGTGTGCGGAGATTTTTAAAGAGCAGTTTAACAAATGCTCGCCTCAACCTGCTCAAAGAAATTAGGTGAGCGTGGAAGCTGGGGTGGGGCTCAGTGGCGAGCTCTTGCCTTCACGGGATGAGTTCCTGGCTTCCTTTCCCAATACCACAAAGAAGGAAAAAGAAAATAGATTAAAGAAAAAAAACCCGGCCTCCAAACTCCTAGCTCAGTTAGCCTGCCGGTGATAGGTGGCTTTCTGGTTTTTGCCAAGCTTACTTTTAAGGTAATTTTCACCCAGCCAATCAACATCTGGGGTTCTTGTGTGTCCTTCTTGTGTCCCAGGACATTTCCGTGCTGTAGTGTGGCCTCAGGCACGGGTCTGGAATGGAAATTCTGGAATATTCCATCCCTTCCACGTGCCATTGTTTGCCCCATGAGTCCCTTACTGTTAGACACTCTGGCGGTTTCCCTTTGTTCTGGTTGTAAACACCATGCCTTGTGTGTTTGGGACACGCATCTTTCCTACTCCCAGCTGGGTAGCTGGGATGGAGGTGCAGCTGCGGCAGGGATGGGGTCTGGGCCTCGGTGGGGAGCAGCCAGGGACTCAAGCCAGGACCTCATATTTTGTCTAGGCCACATTCAGGACAGCTTCCCACGGGCCAGCAGGAAAAAGGATTTGGAAAGACAGTAAGTCAGGACCATTAAGGGGACAAGGGTGCAGACAGGACCCTAATCCCAGTTTAAAATCCCTGCACTTGGGAGGCTGAGGCATGAGGATTGCCAAGCATTTGAGGCCAGCCTGGGCTACATAGTGAGACTCTGTCTCAAAAAACAAAAATAAAAACAAAAAGATTCTCTCTCACTTCCGTCCTTGTGTGTCAGGCCCAGTTTATAGATAAGGTTGTCAAAGTCTGGGGCAAGTCAGTGCGGTTTCCAACCCCAGGCTGCCTGTCCCCTAATCCGGCTTCCTTTCTCTGCTGGGGGGACCCTCACCTCAGGCTGAGCCAGCCTCCCCACCTGGCCAGAGTGGGGGTGCTCCTCACTGGCACTCAGCGTCTCCTGGGGGCCAGCAGACAGCCCTCACAAAGCCCTGGGTGACAGAAGCTCCTGCACCCCATTTTACAGAGGGGACTCAGGCAGGTGAGAGGTGCTGCAGGGTGAGGAGCTGGAAGTGGCCAGCTGGGGCTTGAGCCCTGGGCCCAGCAGTGCACTGTCCTGTCCTGGGGGTGACAAGTGTCTTTGAGTTTCCTGGCCTCTCCTCTGGGACCTGTCTCGGCCCCTCAGGAGCTGCATGAGGGAAGCCCTGTCCTCCCCCTGCCTCTGTCCCCAGGTGGGATCTCGTAATCTCCGGAGGAATGAGAAGAATGTCCCTCCTCACCCAGTACCCACAGAGAAACTGAGTCCCAGAATGGAGGAAGGACTGGGCACAGGTCATGCAGCAAGTTCGGGCAGGCTTGATGAGCTGAATTCACCTGTGTGTCCTTCTGTCTGCCTGAGCTTGGGCTGAGAGACCAGGGCACAGGATGGGCCCGGCTCCCTCTAGTCCTGGAAAAACTCACCATTGGCTGGGAGCGCAGACCACAGACAATCAAAACAACACATCTGGGTGTGTGTGGTTCCCGAAGGACACCTGGGGAACTGATGTACCTTGGAAAGGGGAAACCATTCCAGTGAGATTTTCACAGCAGGGTTTTGAGGCATGGATAGAAGTTAGCCAGGGGGTCGAATAAAAGGTTACCATGAGTCTGAGAAGGCATGATGAAAGCGAGCAGCAGTGTGTCTGGGGAAAAGCTCAGCTCTCCCTGTGATGGGACAAGCGAGGACACACATGGACACAGCAGCTCAGTCATGGAGACTCAGCTTACACTGTGATGGGTCACCATAGGGAGAGGCTCACCAGCTCCAGGAGGGAAGTATTGTGATTGTCATGGCCCCATTTCACAGAGGGTGACACCGAGGCATGGAAAGGAAGCTGGAAGGTGGCAGAACTAGGATTGCAACCATTGGTGTGTGTATGCATGTGTGTGTGTGGTACTGGAAATGGAGCCTGGGGCCTTTCGTATACCAGGCAAGCACTCTACCCCGGAGCTGTACCCTTGTTCTTTTTATTTTATTTTGAGAGAGCATCTTGCTAAATTTCCCAGACTGGGCATACACTTGCAATTTTCCTGCCTCAGCCTCCTGCGTAGCTGGGATTATAGGTGTGTGAATTTGACTCTGCGGGCCTTGGGAAGCCTTGGGAAAGATAGGGACAAAAGGAAGCAGAGGCCTCCTGGTGGCCCTGGGGAGAGGCCGGCTGGCCTGGAACTCTGAGGTTGTCATTGGACCCCTAGGGGAGTACAGGAAGGCAGGAGGGTGGCAGGACAGCTGGAGGAGATGGGGCACTTCGCAGCAGAAAGACCTTTTATGGGAATTATCTGCGCAAGCCAGACCTGTAATGCCAGCACTCTGGGAGGCTGAGACAGGAGAATTGCAAGTTCACGCTCGGTCAGGGCAGTTTAGTGACCAAGTGGGACACTGTCCCCAAATTAAAAACGGCCCAGATGGAGCTCAGTGTGAAGAACCTGGGTTCAATCCCTAGTACAGAAAACCAATCCACCTGCCCTGCCCCGATGTTGTGAATTAATATTCACCGCTCCTCTGGGTGGAGCACCCACCGGGTGTCAGACAGACTTACTGCGCCAGACTGACATGGAAAGTGTGTACCGGGTTGCAGAGCCAGAACATCAGGCAGGCTTCAAAGCTGGCGTCCCACACTTGGCTGCTGGTGCCCTGGGGCGAACCCCTCAGTGCCCCAGCTCTGTTCTGTGTGAAATGGGCACCAGGTCTGCCCGCTCCCAGGGCTGCCAGGGGCTCAGAAGCCTCGTCAGTAACCTCAGGTCCATGAATGGAGGTCGTGAGGGCCAGGCACTTTGGCTCTGGGTGACTGGACTTCGCAGGGCTGAGCTGGGCAGGTGGGCCAGACCACCCGGCCCCGAGACTCTGCTTTTTCATTTTTGTTTTTGTTTTTATTTTCTTTGGCCCCAGGCATTAAACCCAGGGCCTTTTTGTACTAAGCTACATCACCAGTGTGTTATAATTTATTCTATTTATTTTTGAGGATTTTTTTTTTTTTGAGACAGGGTCTTGCTTTTAGCCCAGGCGGGCCTCAGACTTGTGTCGATCCGCCTGCCTCAGCCTCTGGAGTGCTGGGATTACAGGTGTGCACCACTGTGCCCAGCTCTATAATTTATTTTAATACAGGATCTTGCTAAGCCACTAATTTGCCCAGACTGTCTGCAATTTGCAGTCCTCCTGCCTCAGCCTCCCAGAGTGCTGGGGTTGATTATCCATAGCCACACCTGCCTTCCAGGGCTACTTTTCTTGACTTGTTATCCTCCAGGGGTGTCAAGAGTGGTTTACAAAACCTGAGCAGTTGCTGCGCGCTTGGGTGGGAAGCAAAGGAGAGGCGAGGAGAGGACGGTGGTGGGAGGTGGTGCAAGGGTCTCAACCCTGAGGCCCAGTCACCCAGGCTCCCGGTGGCGGCGGCGACGCCTCTGACCAGGTCTGGTCCCGGGAGGCCTCGGAGTTTCCCTTGGTGCCAGGGGATTGTTTTCCGAGGTCTGGGCTCCGGGAGACCGGCCCGGCGTCACCCTCCCTCCGGTCTCCCCATTCTAGTCTGCGGGGTGGGGGCAGCCAGGATCCGAAAAGGCCCCAAAATAAATGGACCTCTTATCTGATCTCCCAGCCTGGCCCGTTATCTGATCATTACATAATGGCCAGGCTGACGGCATGGAGGAGGTGGCCCCAGGCGGCCCCTGCAGTCCAGGAGGAACTGGGGTTCCTGGAAGTCTGGGGACAGAGCAGGGAAGGAGAGGAGGGAGGCGCTGCACTAATGTATACGCCAGACCCCGGGTCATGGGAGGAGAGGGGGGCCGGGGCCCAGCCTGGTCCCCAGAGCTGTGTGACTTTGTCAGATCCTACCTTCCGAGCCTCAGTTTCTCCATCTGTAGAGGAGGGGTTTGGACCTGAGCTGGGGGGCTTGGGTGCCAGAAGGAGATGAGAATTTAGAGGAGGGCATGGGCTTGATTCTGCTGGGGTGAGGGAGACCCCAGAGACCTGGCTCCCAGAGAACCCTGTCCTGAAGCCTAAAGGTCCCGACTCCACACTCCACCCCTAACATCATCAATGCTTCTACAACGATTGCAGCTGGTAAAATAAATGCCATTTTCTTGTTTGTTTATTTTCAGACAGGGTCTCACAATATACTTACTATAGGCTGACTCTGAACTCACTGGGCAGCCCAGGCTGGCCTTGAACTCACAGCAATCTTCCTGCCTCAGCCTCCCCAGTGCTAGGATTACAAGAAGAAGCCACTATGCCAGCAAAAATAGATGTAATTAAGAGAACTGCCATGTGCCCTGTCTTGTGGGGGCTTCCCAGCATCCTCTATGGCTGGGTAGATTCTACATATCTTTTTCCATACCAGAAAAATAAAGCTGTATGGTAAAATCATTCAGCAAATCTATGTGGCAAATAGGGCCTGAGAGTCAAAGCCAGGTAGGTCAGCCTGGCTCCAAGGACCATGATTTGAGCCATCATGCCTGTAACACTCAGGATGGGGTCAGAGCAAGGATTTATAAGGTGTGATGGCACAGGCCTGTCATCTCAGCACTGGGGAGGCTGAGGCAGGAGGATTGCTGTGAGTTCAAATCCAGCCTGGGCCAATCAGTGAGTTCAAAGCCAGCCTAAACTACATAGGGAAACCCTGTTTCAAAGAAGAGTCCTTGGGGCTGGGGATTTAGCTCAGCGGCATAAGCGCCTGCCTTGCAAGCAGGCAGTCGTGAGTTCGATCCCTGGTACCGATAAAAACGAAAAAGACAAAAAAAAAAAAAAAAAAAAGAAGAGTCCTTGGGCCCATGGAGGCCAAATGTCCTTGCCCTGGTCTTCTGCCTTGTAGGGAAGGGTGGCCGCCCTCCATCTTGTCTGACCTCCCAGCTCTGAGGCCAGCAAGCCTGGAAAGGTGGGGAAGGAGGCGGCCGGCAGGCTGCAGACAGCCCCCCTCCTTGGAGCTGGCGTCAGCTGGATGTGAGGCAGTCCCTCCGCGCCCATCTTTGATCTCCAAGAAAACAGGAAGTGAGCGCGACAAGATGGAGACACAAACTTCCAAACAGTCTCCCCTTCTCTGTCCTCCTTCCCTCCTCCGCCACCCCCCCCACCCCACCACGGCGCATTCCTTAGGACGAGGTGTAGGGGCCTCATTTCCCTTTCCTCCTCCTCGGGTCAGGGTGAAATTCCATTCCTCTCCCTCAGGACCTGCGTTTCCGGGCCGCCCAGCCACAGGCGCTGAGGCCTAGGCCGAAGACAGTGGCCTTCCAGCCTGGGCTGCCCTCCTGCTCACCCTGTCCCCTGGGCCCGGAAATGCTGGACCCTCGCAGGAACCATTCCAGTAGGGCCACCTCAAAGGTCAGGAGGGAAAGTTTGTCCCCTGACCTCAGCTCAGCGCCTGCCTTCCTTGAGCTGGAACTGGCCTTGAGGCTCAGGTTCAAATGTAGACGCTGAGCCTTGGGTAACCAGATGTGGCAGCGATAAATAGAGAATGCCCAGTTAAGTTTAAATTGCAGATAAACAATGAAAATTTTAGTAGCATAAGTATACCCTAGGCATTATTTGGGATATACTTGTTCTTGTTAAATTATTTGTCGTTGCCAGGCATGGTGATGCACACCTGCGATCCCAGTACTTGGGAGGCTGAGGCAGGAGGATTACCATGTTTGAAGTCAGCCTGGATCACATAGTGAGTTCAAGGCCAGCCTGAAACACATGGCAAAATCCTGTTTCAAAAAACAAAACAAAGCACATATAATGTATTGTCTATCTGGAATTAAAATGTAACTGATGCGGTATGTGTTGACTGTAGACTTGGAGGCGCTGTGACCTTGGGCAAGAGACTTGTCCATTGTGAGCCTCTGTTTCTTCATCTATAGAATGGGTACCATGGTGTCTACCTCTTAGGGTAGCTGTGAAGACTCAATAAAGCCCTGAGTCCATGGCAGATACCTGGCAGACATTCAGGAAATGGGAGTACTTGTCACCTGCCTGATTTTTCTTTTTTCTCCTTGTCAGAAATGGAACCCAGGACCTCGCATGTGCTAGGTGAGTGCTTCCGCCCCTGAGCAACATCTTCAGCCTCTTATCTGGCTTCTTTCCCACTCTGCTTCTCCAATAGGTCTTGCAGAGAATGTCCACTGTGACTTGCAGCCTGTGGACCCCGACAGAGGCGAGGTGACGTACATCACCAGCCAGGTGTCAGAGGGCTGCGTGGCTCAGGCTCCCAACGCCGCCCTGGAAGTCCATGTCCTCTTCTTGAAGTTCCTAAACGTAAGTGCCCCAGGCAGGGTCAGGCAACAGCTCAGGGCCATGGGCTGAGAGGGGCTTTCCTGGTGGGCAACCCCAAGACAGCAGTCCTGTCCTCCCAGGGCCCGTGCCAAGGGACCCACAGGACCTCTCTCACCTTGTGCAGAAGACAACAGTTCTGGGGGGTGAGGGAAGTTTGTGGGGGTCACCCCAAGACCTAGGTAGAAAGGGTTGTATTTGGCAAGTGCCAGGTGGGAGGCTTGGTGGGTGGCAGCCAGGGGGACTTGGTATCTGTGTACCCCCAAGATGGGATTCTCCTAGCTTCTCAAAGGACATGGCTATACTCTTGACAGCTAGGACTTCTAGAAAGAGCACCCCTCTTTTCCCTGAAATGTTCTCTTATCGTACGTCTGTGAACTCGCCAGACAGTCTCTGAAAGCCAGGTGGACCCCAAAGTTGAGCAGAATGGGTGGTGACCCTGGACCTCAGGTCCTAAGAGCGATCTTAAAAGTGTGCAGCTCAGGGTTAGCTCTCGGCCTGCCTGCCCCCAAAACTGTTGAGATGTCTTGCATTCGTGTGGTGATAAGAAGGTGCCCAGGCCACCAAGGTGGGGTCTTTGCTTCCCATCACCCCGACAGTTGTGAGGACTGTGAGCTTTGATAATCTCCAGACCACAGACAGCACCCTACGACCCATTTTGTGTGGTTGTCAGAGGATTGTCACTTTTTTTTTTTTTAATTTAGTAATGATACAGAAAGTGTGACTGCTCTCTGTACGTTTATTTGTTCTGATGTGTGAGCTCCTTGTGTCTCTTCTGGGGACCTGGGATCTCTGATCCTGATCAGGGACAGAGGAACAATGAGCCAGGTCCCACGAAACGGGTGCATCTGCAGAGCGCGCAGGGTAGGGGACTCCAGCTGCCACCCAGGGTTCTGCCAGAGCTCACCGAGCAAGGAAGGGATTGCAGAGGCAGTGGGACGAGCAGAGGTTGTGCAAAGGCAGATGCGGGGGGGGGGGGGGGAGTGGCTGGCCACTCACCTCCAAGTGGGAATGGGGAGATGGCAAAGGTCCCCTGTCTTGTTAGGGAGCTTGGTCTTTATCTGGGGACAATGCAGTCACTGTGGTTAGGAGCACAGGTTGGCACATGTTGGTTGTCCCTGCTACTCGGTAGGTTGAGACAGAAAGATCAGTTGATCCCATGAGTTCCAGGCCGGTCTGGGCAACACAGTGAGACCCCCACAAATCATCGTGACAAAACACACACATGCACATGTGCAAACACACACACTCAGGTTCTGAAGTCACACAGTCCCCCAGTGGGGCTTTGGCTAAGCTCTTCCGGGTGCATGACCTTGGGCCACCTGTCCTTACCTGGAACCTGTGCCCCTGGAAGCATGGAGACAATGATGATAGTTCCTACCTCACAGAGTCACTGTGCCAATCTGGACGGACAGCGCAGGTGAGATGTCAGTGGAGGGGCTGCCGAGAGCCACTGCCTGATGAATGGCAGCCACAGTGGTGTCACTGCTGCTCGTCCTCTGCGGGTTCCGTTTCTCACCATCAGTACCTTCATTTTGCTGGTGTGGTACAGTTCACAGAACAGCCTCATACCTGCCGATTGATTTGAGTTTCAAATTTTTTTTAATTTAGTTTTTCAAGATAGGCCCTCTAGGGGCTGGGGATTTAGCTCAGCAGCATAAGCACCTGCCTTGCAAGCAGGCAGTCGTGAGTTCGATCCCCAGTACCAATAAAAAGGAAAATGACAAAAAAAAAAAAAAGATAGGCCCTCTAGCTGGGCATGGTGGTGCATGCCTGTAATCCCAGCACTCGGAGGCTTCGATCCTTGTGAGTTCAAGACCAGCCTGGGCTACAAAGTGAGCTCAAGGCCAGCATGGAATACATAGCAAGACTCTGTCTCGAAAACAAACAAACAAAAATAGGCTTTCTAGCTATATAGTTCAGGCTGGCCTCAAACTTGGTGATTCTCCTGCCTCAGTCTCCCGAGGGCTGGGATTACAGGTATGATCTATTAGGCCTGGCTTCCTTTGTGATCAGAGGTGATCACTGCAGGTAGCCAAGGAGGGGCGTGGGTCTGCTTTCACAGTGGCTAGTCAAGGTCTCCCAGCCTCTGGTGCTGAGGGTCGGGCCGTGATCCTGGCCACCTCTGGCTGTGTTCACAGTGGAGCCCATGCCTCACCGACCCTCCTTCACCAGATCTGTGCCCTGCCTGCAGGGATGCCAAGAGTAGAGGCAGGCTCTGCCCTTGAGCCATTGCCAGGCCAGGGAGGAGGGCAGCAGCTGGCCCAGCATTCGATGGTGGCGTTGGCATGGGGCAGGGGTGCAGGGGGCCATAGCTGATGATAGGAAAAGTGCTGGACGTGGAGGAAGGGACACTGGCCAGAAGGTCTCAGCGTCTGGCCAGAGAGCGCGTGGCGGGTGTTCCTGGCGGAGGCCACCACTTGTGCAAGGCCTGGAGACAGTGGCTGGGGAGATGGGAGGGGTAGGCCCCTGGGCAGCCTAGCCCATCCCGCCTGACTTGTGGCCGCCTTCGTCAGTCCCTGGCACTGAGAAGTGACTTCCCCGCCCACCCTGCTGTGGCCTCAGAGCCCTCAGATTTCCTGTGGGTGGGCAGCAGCCAAGAACCCCAGGGAAGCCGTGCTTAGCATGTGTGTGCAGGCGCAAGCGTGTGTGTGTGTGTGTGTGTGTGTGTGTGTGTGTGTGTGTGTTGGGGTGGTCGGCAAGCAGGCAAGTGGCCACTGGGCACAGGCTTTATCTCTCTGGGTCCCCGAAGGCCAGGCCGGAGCCTGGATTCCGGGAGGGGGCCAGGGTCACATCCTGACCCGGGAGACAGGAAGCCGCCGGGTGTCTCAGCGGTTCCCGTCAGGCCACCGTGCGGAGCTGCTGTCTTCCTAACAAACCCCAGGCCGGGGCACAGCAGGGTCAGTGGCTGATTCACCCCACTTCTGCGCAAATGAGCAGAGCATCCCACCCACCCCTAAGTGGAGGAACTGGCAAGGGCCTGGCACTGACTCACATGCAGCCAGAGGGGCAGGCGAGACTGCTGGAGCCCCAAGAGGGAGCCAGGAGGGACCCCCCCCAGGCTTCCCTAGACCCTCCCAGAGACAGAGCCCTTGGACTTGGGCGAGGGCCCCCTTTTAGTCACACCCCTCTCCAGGGTGGGGACCTCTCACAGCTGGACAGATGTACCCACCTGGAGCTTTGCCCTCTGCTCTGAGCCAGGGCTGTGGGTGCCCAAGATGCCCAAATTCTCACTGAGCCTCCTCCTAGGCTGCAATGGACTCTATCTTGTTCTGTCCTCTAGAAGGGGCACTGCCTGACCCACTTGAGCTCCCCAGACCTGAAATGTGGCGGAGCCAGCTGTTTGGAGGCAGGCATGGCAGAGCCTGGGCATCTGGCTGGGCTGCCACATGAGGACCTGTGAGCATACAGCTATGTTATCAAAAGCAGGGCGAGCTGGGTGTGGTGGTACTTGGCCATAATCCTAGCACTTGGGAGCCACAGCGGGAGAACCGTGAGTTTTAGAACAGCCTGGACAATATAGAGAGATCCTCTCTCCAAGGCAGCTAAGGATGCATAACTGTCTGCTGGATGGCGGGGGGGAGGAGGAGGGCAGTGGTGACAGGCAGGAGGGAGGAGCAAACAGAGTGGCTTCCGCATTTGCCATTCAACCCTGCAGTGTGCAGTGTGGCCGGGGAGTCCCCATTCCCTAACTGTCCTCTGGAAGGATCCTCTTTGTTCTGTGCAAGCGCCTAAGGACAGGGCTGTAGCTTCTGCTGTCCTGCTTTGGGAGCACAGAAGCCATTTCTGAGGCAGGTAGATGAGTGGCAGAGAGGGCTGGGGGAACAGGGGCCTCTCAGCTGGCGACCGGAGCATCTCTGTCCTCTGAGCCATCTGGCTGGACACCAGGATTCCCAGAAGCTAGATGCTGTTGGAATTCGAGAGCCACGCAGTTCTAAAAGATCATTGTGCCTGGTTCCCCGGCAGATAGGAGACAGAGACCCAGAAAGGGACAGGTGCTGTCTCAGCCTCTGTCACTGCTGCCCAACGGGAATGCTTCTGCTCCTCCCGATAGACATGCAAGTTACTGTCGCCCACCACTGTCCTGGGGCCTTGGGTCCGGGAGCTCTCCAAGGAGACCCCAGTCACAGATGCTCCAGATTCCTTATTTTAAAAAAAGCTGTGGCATTGACACAAAAGCTACATATACTTTAAAACATCTTTAGATTGCTTAAGATATATAATGCAAATGACATAGATTATGACAAGAAAGGGCCAGAGATTTAGCTCAGTGGCATAAGCACCTGCCTGGCAAGCAGGCAGTCGTGAGTTCGATCCCCGGTACCGATAAAAAGGAAAAAGACAAACAAAACAAAACAAAACAAAAAAACCCCACAAAATTTGCATCTGTAGTGAAGACAGGTAGGTTTTTTTTTCTTGTCATAATTTTTTTTTTTGTCTTTTTCCTTTTTTATCGGTACCGGGGATTGAACTCACGACTGCCTGCTTGTGAGGCAGGCGCTTATGCCTCTGAGCTAAACCCCCAGCCCCCATTTTTTTTTTTTTTTGTATCAGTGATCAAACTCAGGACTCTGTACTTGCCAGGCAGATGCCATGCTGCTGAGTTATATCCCCAGCCCCTGCAACTTTTAAAAATATGCGTTTTAGGCTGCATGTGGTAGAGCACACATGTAATTCCAGCATTTAGGAGACTGAGGCAGGAGAATTACTGTGAATTCAAGGCCAGTCTAGACTACATAGAAAGATCTTGTCTCAACAAACAAATAAATATATGTATTTCAGGCTAGGAATGTTGGCATATACCTGTAGTCCCAGCTATGTAGGAGACTGAGACAGGAGAATCTCTTGAACCCAGGAGGTCAGGGCCAACCTGGATAATATATCAAGACTCTGTCTCTTAAAATAAAAATTCAGTCCCTGTTTGATCACATTTTTCAGAGATATAAGCCATGCGTACAGACGACCAAGTGCATCTATGTGGGCACTGGACAACCTGCTTTGAGGCAGTCACACAAATCTGTGCAATGTTCAGCCCATTTTCCAGGTCTGGAAACTAAGGTCCAGCAAGGAAAGGTGACAGCTAGGGCCACAGGCTAATGGCAGAGCCCACATTTGAACTCAGGTCTGTCTGGCTTTGCCCTGTTTCCCTGGCTACCCTTCCTGTAGGCACCATCTGGGTCTGCTGGGGGCAGGGGGATGGAGGGATGGCTGGCTCCAGTGTGGCCACCTCGGAGCTAGCCCCAGGAGGGTGGGGGCCACAGGCAGTCCCGAGCTCCACTCCGAGAAGAATTGCTGGAAGCGACTTTCTATAAGTGGCCACTCACGCTCGGGACCTCCTCGCCGAAATCCCCTTCCCGCCACCTACCACCGGCCAACAATGGCGTCTGTGCCACACTGGTATAAAAATAGCAACTTGGTCTCCCGCCCACCCGCCCAGGGAGGGCAGGCCTGAGCTGGCAGCGCTGGGGACAAGGGGCTGGCCGGTCTGCCACCCTGACTGGGCCCCAGGATCCCGGAAGCGGGGACCCAGGGCCGGGTAACAGCAGGAAGAGGGCCAGGGGCCTGTGTGTGAGTGGCCACTGGTGACTCAGGGCTGAGGGGAAAGACAGGCCCTCTGTGTTTCCAGGAAAGTGACATTCAGAGAACCCCGCTTTCTAGCCTCCCGGGGTTTCCAGGCTGCTCAGTCACTGTACCGTGACCTGGCCGGTGATGGTGCTTCAGACCCAACTGTCCAGGAAGGGACTTGGGACAGGGAAGTGGCGGGCTTGGTTTGTGAGTTCTGGGAGAAGAGTTGAGCGCTTGTGAGTGACAATTGTGACCCCGGCAAGACTGGGCCCTGACCTCCACGGCCCTTTTGTCACTTCCTATAGCAGGGTTACCGGGTGTTGTTTCCCCCACCCCGTCCTACCACTGTTTCACAGATGAGGAAACTGAGGCACAAAGTCACAGGACCAGCAGCAGGACACAGGCCCCCAGGGCTCTCCGCACAGCACAGGGCTCCTGCTACCTGTGGTGTCACCAAGACACACAGGATGGACCTCCCGGCTGCCGTGGCCAAACCATGGAGCCCGTCTCCTGCCACAGGTGCACCTTGGCATTCTCCATCCAGGGAGACAGAAAGGTGGTGCTGGGGGAAGTGGAGGGTCAGCGGGACTAAAGGTGGCACAGTCCAGGAGAGCTGCCTATGGGTACAGGTGCTGCAGATACCCGAGCTCAGAACAGGGCCTGGGGCTAATGATTAGGCTGAACCGTGAGAAATCACTTGTGCTCAGTTGTTTTGTAAACAGCTCTATTGAAGTAAAATTTGCCCACTGAAAGTGCACTGTTGAGCTGGACATGGTAACCCATGCCTGTAATCCCAGCACTTGGGAGGCTGAAGCAGGAGGATCAGTGTAAACTCAAGGCCAACCTGAGCTACACAATGGGTTCAAGCCCAGCCAGAGCTATGTACATAAGAGATCGTCTCGGGGAAAAAAAAAAAAGGAATAAGAAAAAAGTGTACAGAATTGTGCAAGCATGGGTCGGTTCTCAGTGAAGCTCAGAGTGGTACTGGGCCCGGCCCTTTGGAGACACCAGCGCGGTGGGTCACTTTTTGCTCTGGTCAGCTTCAGGTAGTGATCACAACCCTGGAACCAAACATATGTATTTCATATTTTATCAAAATATGGGTGCTGTGGTAGATATTTGTAATCACAACTACTTGAAGGCTAAGGCAGGAGGATCTAAAATTTGAGGCCAATCTGAGCAATTTAGTGAGACTGTCTCACATTTTTAAAAGTTAATAAAAAAGGCTGGGGATGTAAAGCATCCCTCCAATCCATCCTTAGTACTAGAATTAAAAAAAAAAAAAATGAAAACATAGGCTGGGGACTTACCTCAGCAGCATAAATGCCTGCCTGGCAAGTGTGAGGTCATGAGTTCAATCCCCAGTATAAAAAAAAAAAAAAAAACCAAAGCATGGTATCACATCCTTGTTTTGTTTTGTTTTTGCTACTTGGGGTTGAACCTAGGGCCTTCTTGCAGACCTACATCTCCAGCCCATTTTATGTTTTATTTCAAGACAAGGTCTTGCTAAGTCAGCAGCCCAAGCTTGGCTCAAACTGGCAACCTTCCTGTCTCAGCTTCCAGTAGTAGTTCTGGGATTATAGGCATGCAGCACCACACCGGGCCAGCATTTAATTTTTTTTTTTTTTTTTTTTTTGTCTTTTTCCTTTTTATCGGTACCAGGGATCAAACTCACAACTGCTTGCTTGCAAGGCAGGTGCTTATGCCGCTGAGCTAAATCTCCAGCCCCGTAATTTTTAAAGCATTAAGAATGTGCAGTGTTAGGGCTGAGGGTTTTGGTCAGTGGCATAAGTGCCTGTCTGGCAAGCACGAGGTCATGAAATCAATCCCCAGTACCAAAAACAAATGTGTAGTGTTTAAAAAAAAATTGAATGAAACAAAATGCTTTGAAAATCATTAGAAAGCATTAATATGAGCATACACATACGTCACTTTGACAATATTCTGCTATAAATTAGCAGAAGAGTATTTGAGAATGATGACCTAAAGATCACACTAAAATGAAAAACAAAATTTGTGGAACTCTAGAAATGGAGTAACACTGTTTGCTTTAAACAAGGACCTCGCACACGTGGTGGTCATGGTGTCCCCGCTGAGCCATGGAAATGTTTCTGAGCACATTTTTCCAGGGCTGTAAACTCTGTCTCTAGCTCTGTGACATCAGCCAGAAGATTAGAAGTGAAGTCCAAAAACTTTCCACTGCTGTCTCCGTCTCGAAGCTTCTCCCTCTGACAGCTCACAGGAGTCCTGTGGTCTGCTCCTGGTGACTCTCTCAGGGAAGCTTCCCAGGGTCTTGCTCTGTAGTGTAGAGGGCCTTGAACTCACTATGTATGTAGCCCAGGCTGTCCTCAAATTCGAGGCAATTCTGCCTCAGCCTCCTAAGTGCTGGTATGGCAAGCATGCACCACCACACCTGGCCTCCCCATTTGTCTCTGGCCCTGTGAGTCCGCAGAAAGTCCCAGTGGGGGGACCAGTCATTGTCTCCACAGAAACTTCACCCCTAGATTTCTGACTCCTTTTTTTTTTTTGGTACCGGGGATCGAATTCATGACCTGGCACTTGCCTGGCAGGTGCTTGTACTCAACCCCTGCTGATTCCTTTTTTATCTTCAGTAGGGGCACTGAGGGATCCCCCACTTGCTGTGTGATAATGGGCAAGTGACCTCACCCCTCTGTGCCTCAGTTTCCTCATCTGTAAGAGAGACTAATAATGGTACCAGCCAGGTATGGTGGTGCACATCTGTGGTCCTGACACTCAGGAGGCAGGAGAATGGCCAGCTTGGTCTACATAGTGAGTTCCAGGCCAGCCTGAACTATATAGTGTGACCAAAATAAGGAGCCAAGGGTTTAGCTCAGTGGCACAAGCACCTGCCTGGCAAGTGTGAGGTCATGAGTTTGATCCCTGGTATCAAAAGATAATATCACAATAATAATGATGATGATATTTACCTCTTAACGTTGTCCCAAGGATTAAATGAGCTAATGTGCACAGACCAAGCCCTGGGTGAGCCTTGCATATTATCCCTGTCCATAGGGAAACATCCTAATGACACACAGCACTTAGCAGTGACAGTTGGGGACGCTGGCTGACAGCATAGCTCAGGGGTTTGGCACAGGCTCAGTATGCATGAGGCCCTGGGCTTAATCCCCAGCAGTAACAGAAAAAGTAATTTTAGATAGAGTGGGTAAGTGAATTCAGCTTCATACCCTTGCATGAAAACAATAGCAGTGCCAACAATGTACTAACAATGCGTTTGGTATTCTACAGGGATTAAAGGGGAATATTGTAAATTGCAGCCGATCTTTTTGTCTTTTGTGTTTTGAGACAGAGTCTCGCTGTGTAATCCAGGCTGGTCTTAAACTCACCAGACAGTCCAGGCCAGCACCCACGCCCCCACAAATCCATCACCAGAAATAATAAAATTGACTGTTATTGTAGGATGTTCAGACCCACCCCCATTTTCTCCCTCTTGTGGGATTTGCTGGGACTAATTCCTTCTGTTTGTTCCTCACATGCTTTCTGGGTACATCTGGAAGGTCAAGCACTGCTCCGGGCACAGGTCGTCCTCAGGGACTTGGCTGTGCAGGATGTGGGAGCCCCCGAGGCAGCCCTGCCCTCTGGCTTGCTGAGCTGGTGAATCTTACTGAGCATGTGTCTCCCTGTCCCTCCCCAGGCCGTGTCACAGCTGGAGCTGATCCTCCAGGCCTCCAAGTCAAACAGCATTCACCCCCGAGAGGTGCTTCTGGTCCTTGTCACAAACACCAGCGTCCTCCTGCAGCTCAAGGCCCCGGGAATCCCACTCCATCTGGCCTATGTGAGTGTCACGCGAGCCCCAAGAGGGGCTCTGGCCACCCATGGAGTCCTCTGCCATCAGTCTCTGTGGCCCAGTGTCTCCCACCTCAGCAGCCCGGCTGGTTTTCATTCTGACATTCATCACCAAGGCCCCGCCGGGTGAACCTCTGTGCCCTGACAAAGTGAACCCAGGGGGCAGCAGGACCAGGCGGTGCGTCAGGCTGGGGAACAGCCAGGCCAACCCTGACCCTCCACAAGCCCATTTGCCTCTGAACAAGTTCTGAGACCTCTACTTGAAAATATTTAAGTACAAAAGGGAAAGGGCTGGAGGAATCTTTGTTTTTTGAGTTTGAGACAGGGTCTCACTATGTAGTCCAGGCTGGCCCTGAACCTTGGCAGTCTTCCTGCCTCAGCCTCCTGAGGGTACCACCTCTCCTGGCCAGGAGGCATCCTGTGGTGTGTGGTTAGGGTTGGGAAGAGAGACTTGCAGAGATGTTTAGTTTGTTCTTTACACTTTGCTTGACTTGCAAGGGTTTTTGTAACTGACACACCCACGTTAGAGATGCATTGTTCTTAAAACTCTCAAGTTAGACACGTGGATCAGAGAGGAGGTCTGCAGGATTTGTCCCATGGCAGGGGCTCAAGGGTGGAGGGGACCGGTAGTCTGTCCCCTGCCTCCTTCGGTGGAAGGGAGGTCCCCCGGGGGGTCAGGAGAGCAGCTGTCAGTGAAGGCCGACCTGCCAAGGAGGGAAAGGTGCTAGGAGCAGCACAGAGACAGAATGGGGGTGAAGAGGAGGTGGAGAATCTGGGTGGGGTGCAGCAGTAGGGGAAATCAAGGCCCCCAGGGAGAACAGGGCCTGGTGTGATTCCTTCTCCCTCCCCTCCTCTCCCCCATCCCCATGGGAATGTAAGCAGTGGGCCCAGAATAACCCAAAGGTCACTGCAGCTGTAGGCTGGCTTAGGGCTGGGCTAGTTCCTGACAGAGGCAGAAGTATCTCATGGGCCTCGGTGTCCGACCTTGTACCAGAGGACTGGCAACATGGTGTCCTTCAGTCCCTAAACCACCCACCAAGGGCCAGGTTCCTCACCCAGGGTGCATCCCCTCATCCCCTTGTTAATTCCTCCAGACCCAGGTGCACTGTACTCCAGGGGACTGTGCTGTGGTGTCTCACCTACGGTCACCATCGGGCTGTCCTCCTTCATATCCAGCCTGAAGCCCCACTGTGGCTGCTGCTGCCCTGTCAGCCCGATGTCCACAGTCGGGTGACAGAACAAAGGAGCCCTTGAGCCACTGGCCCCAAAGGATTCCTTGGGATCCTGTCCTCCACCACAGCACCTCCCCCAGGAAGCCCGCCCTGATTCCTTTTCCAATCTGGCAGCCCCTCCTGAGGCAGGGCAAGGATGGCAGCTCCTGAGCCACTTAGATCCCCCATGCTGCAGGCAGCCAGGGACCTGTCTTCCTTCTGTCCTCCTTAAATGACACCCTCTGCCCTCTGTTGCTTCAGGACTTGGGCATGGCTGATTTCTGAATGGTGAGCTCCCCCAGGGAAGGGACCAGCCTGTTATTCATGCATCCACCCATTTCTTTTTCCTTGCTTTCTTCCTTTCCATGTACAGGGAGCCCCCCTCACACCACACGCCGAGTGTCAGGGTGAAGCTGTTTGTCCCCCATAGACCCTCAGGGTCAGAAAGGGAGACAGCAGCCACACGGTGTCACTAATGTGGGCTGAATGAACGCAGGCACGGCAGGGTGATATTGGGACGGGCAGGCGAACAAGGACTGGTCCCTTCCAGGCCCTGTGGGAGGAGGGAGACGGTGCAGGCCAGCAGTGGCGATGCGGCCTTGCTGACGTGCACAGGACAGAGGGGACTCAGCAGGAACACAGCGCCCTGAACCTGCTTGTGTCTCCCCAGGACGCCAACCTGGTCATCTTTCAAGAGCCCCCAGAAGTCAATGTCACTGAGATGCCACCATTTACCTTCAACACCAAGATCCTTGACTGGGCAGCGACCAAGGGCCACCTGGTCTCCGTGGCCTCCCTGGACGACCCCAGCAGCATCCTCCTCCGCCTGGGCCAAGGTCAGCTTCCCCAGAGGCCTCTGGTTCCTCTGGCCCAGGCCTCAGTCTCAGGCACTAAGGGTCCACGGTGGTATGTGCTTTGCCCTGTCACATGTAGCAGCAGTGCCATTTTGGTACCCTGATTACCCTTTCCCCAGACCTCAGCCAAACCCTGTGAAATGCCAGATGTCTTACTTAAACCTCACCACTTTCCTATTATTTATTGTGCAACTACTGTGTGCCAAGCCCCATGGGAGGCACTGGGGATTCTGTGGGGACTGACTCAGGCCCGGTGCTCCCGGAGCTGACACAGTGATGCATCATTTAAGGACTTGGTGCATGCTGTAAGATTGAGGAGAAGCCTCTGGTGGTGGCCGGCTTGCAGCCCCAACACATGCCATACGGCCTCATTCTTTATATTAACCCTATGTTGACACAGGAGGAAACAGAGGCACAGGGACTTGTGCAGCGTCTGTCAGCAGGTCCTCCACGCCCCCATCTCAGTGTACCATCCTGTGCGCCCCCCATCATTGCCTCCGTCCGTGGGGGAGGATAGGGCTTTTGTGTTAGTGCCAGCTGCTCAGAGAAGGCACTGAAGTGCGCTTGTCTCCGCAGCAGCCCCGAGGTCACCGTACTGCCTGCCAAAAGCCCAGCAGGACATGGGCCGCACGCTTGAATGGCGGCCGCAGGGCCCCATGACTGTCTGGGGCTGCCGCTTGGAAGGCGTGGCCGGTCATAAGGAGGCGCACATCCTGCGGGTCCAGTCGAAGCCAGATGCTGAGTAAGGGTGCCCGCCCCGCCCTGATCCAGGCTCCGCCCCGGAGCCAGGCCCCACCCTTTTTGTCCGGGTTTCCGCCCCCACCTGCTCATGCCTAGGCCTCATGGGACCTTTGTGGGTGGGATCTCTCCCCTCTCTTCTCCTCCCCTCCCCCTTCCATAGACTACACCTGGCCGGGTGAGAGCCCAGCCGCTGCCTGCCCTAGGCAGCCACGACTGCCCTGCCTGTCCCCATAGGCCTGGCCAAGCCTGCGCTCCCGCCCGCTCTGGCCCAGCCACCTGTCCCATTACAGGCCCCGGACAGTGACCTTGAAGGTGGAACTGAGCTGCACGGCCGGGGACCCTGATGCCGTGCTCATCCTGCAGACTCCACCCAACGTGTTTTGGGTCATCGATGCCAACCACAATGTGCAGGTCTGGGTGAGTGTGCCCCCGACCAGCAGACAACCCAGACTCCCAGCCTCCGCTATTGAGCCTCCTGCAGGCTCCAGCAGCCCTGCCTGACCTGGGTCTTTAGACCTCATGGTCCTTCTGTCTCCAGCGTTCTCCGCCCACCGCTTGACCTTCCTCTAGACCTTCCCCTGAGGCCACCTCCTCCAGGAAGGCTTCCCTGATCCAACAGGGGGCCCCCTAAACCCAGCCCTGTGGCTCAAGGCCAACTGGGAGAGGAGGCAGCTGTGCAGAGTAGGAGGATCAGGAGCCACAGGATGAAGGGAGGAAGGCGGGCAGGTGGGAGGAAGGTGGCTGAGACCCCTGTTCTGCCGCCCTGCCCGTAGGCCACTGGCGGATACTCCTACAAGATTTTCCCTGAGAAGCACTTTCTTGGCTCTGAGCTCCCAGAGACCACACAAGGCCTGCTGGGCAAGGCCCGCATGCTCAACGCCAGCGTGGTGGCCTCCTTTGTGGAGCTCCCTCTAGCCAGCGACATCTCCCTGCGGGCCAGCTGCGGTGAGTCCCAGCCCCTTCCCCCGCCGCCCCCTCCACCCCATCCCGGGAGCTTTGGGGCGGACACCAGCCAGCCTGAGCCTCACTGCCCTGCGTGCCACGGGAACAGTGAGCCACTAAGCACCCCAGAGCTTGGTGCCCGAGCGCCGTGAGCACTCAGTGACTGTCCCGCAGGAGGTGGGCTCCAGACCTCGCCTGCACCCATCCCCACTACCCCGCCCGAGGAGAACTGCAGCCCGCACCTGCTCCTGTCCATGGTCCAGCCCACTTGCGCCAATGGTATCATGACGCTGGCCCTCAACAAAGCCCACGTGAAGGTGAGAGACTGCCCCTCCGCCCCTGCCCATGGGAACTGCGGCTCCCTCCACCTCCCAGGAATATGGGGTCCTGACTAGGGCAGGGTGTCAGGTTAAATCCCACCACAAGCCTCCATTTCCCAGTTGTTCCGGTGCGTTGGTGATGGGGCCTCCCACGCGGTAAGAATTAGGTGACATCTGACAGGCCCAGTGCATGGCACAGTTGGAAGCCAGTGGCCTCTGCCTGATTGGCAAATGAATATATTTAGTATAAAAATAATACATGCTTTAAAAAACATGCAAGAATTAGAAAAGAAGAAAATCTTGAGCTTGCGTGTGTAGTTCCAGGACTTGGGAGGCTGAGGCAGGAGGATCCGCTCATAGCCAGCCTGGGCTACATAGTGGATTCAAGGCCAGGCTGGACTGCATAGTGAGAATTGTCTCAAAAAAAAAAAAAAAAAAAAAAAGGAAAAACAAAAAGAAAATCTGAATCTCCCTACTTGAACACAATGGCTGCTAAGGTTCTTTTTTTTTATTTGCAGATTCATGTATTAAATAAATTCAGTAATTCAATAAACACATACACTTGATCCCAGCCAAAAGCCCAAAAAGTGATAATAAACACATAAACGATGATATAAATGCTGGAGATATAGCTCAGTGGCACAATGCCTGCCTGGCAAATATGGTACCAAAAAAAATGATTTAAGTAACAGGCAAATACAAACATTATAAGGATGTTAGTTTTTTTTTTTTTTTTAAGTAGATTCTTAGCCAGGCGTGGTGGCTCAGCCTGTAATCCCAGCATTCAGGAGGCTGAGGCAGGAGGATTGATGCAAGTTCGAGACCAGCCTGGGCTACAAAGTGAGCTCATGGCCAGCCAGCCTGAACTGCATAGAGACCCTGTCTCAAAAAGACAAAAAAAGTAGATTCTTGTTAATTAAGAAAATACTGTTATTTTTCCAAAATAGAGAACTGGATTCCAAATAAACAATTTAATAAAATAAGAAACTAAAAAAAAATAAGAAACAGTGTTTCACAAGGTACAATTCACACAGGTTAGTTAATATGGTATAAAATTATATCACTTTGTTATGTGCTGGGAGGTGAAGCAAAAGTACTAGAAATGAAGTAGTTTATTCTTTTAGAGTGTTTACTACTATAAAGTATCATATTTGATACAAGAAACTATAGAAAGTAAAACTTAACTATTGAATCATATCACTGAATTCTTCACTTTTACTATTAACTTTTTTTGCTTTGGTTTGGTGTTTTGGGTTTTTTTTTTTTTTTTTTTGTCTTTTGGAGACAGGGTCTCACTATGCAGTTCAAGCTGGCCTTGAATTCACTCTGTAGCCCTGGCTGGCCTTAGAACTTGAAGCCATCCTCCTGCCTCAGCCTCTCAGAGGGCTGGGATTACAGGCGGGTGCCACCTTGCCTGGCTTTCTCTGTGTATTTCTTATGTGGGTGTAATCATAACAGATGCTTTCATTTGTCTCCCACTATTTCACTTAACCTATTTTTGGGAAAATGACATCTGTACTCAGTATCATGTTGTTAATAAGCAATATCACCCCACTGTAACGACAGGCCATAATTAACTTCTCCGCTTTGTTAGAGCTTCAGGTTGTTTCTCATTCTGCAGTATTGTAATCCGTGGGAAATGTCACTGTGTGTGACACTTTCTTCTACGTGATTCTTTTCTCAGGACCCATTTCATCTTAAGTGGGATGCTGGTTAGGATCCATGAAATTCTGGTGCACACTGCAAACAGCTCTTCCTCAAAAACCCTTTGAATTTTAGCTGTGGGTTCACAACTTCTCCCTCTCCAGACTAATTAAAAGTAAATTCATGCAAACAAAGGAACTTTTTGCCAGTGTGGGAGGTGGAACATGGAGGTCTATTTTTAATTTATAATTTTTTTCTTTCCTTCAGAAACCTGAGATTAAAGCCAGGCAAGTGCTCTATCACTGAGCTACGCCTGCCCTTAAATTAGAGTTATTTTGTTAGTAAGGGTAATGTGTAGCCCCATGTGAGTGATGACAGCTTGTCTCTTTATTGCTGGGGTTTGGTAATTTTCTTCTAGCACATTTTTTTTTTTGGTCTTTTTCATTTTTATCGGTACCAGAGATCAAACTCACGACTGCCTGCTTGCAAGGCAGGCGCTTATGCCGCTGAGCTAAATCCCCAGCCCCGGTAATTTTCTTGATAATTGTTATAGGCTTTTTACATCAAAAAGCACAACCTGTAAAAAGTTTTGGCACTTGCTGGCCATGGTAGTTCAAGTCTGTGATCCCAGCATTCAAGAAGGCTGAGGCAGGAGGATCACAAGTTCAAACCCAGCATGAACAACATAGTGACTTAGTGAGATTGTATCTCAAAATTTACAAAATAGGGGCTGGGGATTTAGCTCAGCGGCATAAGCACCTGCCTTGCAAGCAGGCAGTCGTGAGTTCAATCCCTGGTACTGGTAAAAAAGGAAAAAGACAAAAAAAAAAAATTATAAAATAAAAAAGTGACTGGGGATGTAGTTCAATAAGAAGAACTTGGGTTTAATCCCAAGACACCTCCAAAATTGGCCCTGTTTCTTTCTCCTGATTTATTACAGTTCATTTATTTATTTACTTATTGGTACCCAGAATTGAACTCATGACCTCACACTTACCAAGTAGATGCTGTGCCACTGAACCACAGTCCCAGCCCCTTATTACAGTTTTTTCAGTTTAGCCACAGCAGGTTTTTTTTGTTTTGTTTTTTTTGCAGTGCAGGGGTGGAACTCGGGGCTTGGTTACGCACTAAGCATGCATTCTACCATCGAGCTATACTCCCATCCCCACTAAAGTGGTTGTTAACTTTTTGAACACTTGTAAAAATTGTGGGGGGCCAGGCACACCCATGGGTGCACACCCATAATACCAGCACTTAGGACACTGAGGCAGGAGGATCACCACAAGTTTCAAGGCCAGCCTGGGCTACATAGTGAGTTTAAGGATAGCGTGAACTACATAGTGAGACTCTTGTCTGGAAAAAAAAAAAAAACCTGCCTAGGGTATAGCTCAGTGGTAACAGGGTTTGCCTAGTGTGTTCCAAGTCCTGTGTTTGATCTTGAGTACCAATTAAAAAAAAGGGGGCATCCAGCTGCCCACTTTCTGCTTTGTGATTGCTTCTGAGGCCAGAAATCTCTGCTGCATTACCCACGCCCTCCTGGGGATTTCAGAGTGACATCGCATTCCATGCTTAAGGCCATATGCAGCTTTTGGCTTTGGGGCTCAGTCCCAGAGGAAGCCTCACCTGCTGTCAATCTCCTCCCCGGGGGCAGCTGTCTGGTGCAGCAGGTGTCTGGGAAGATGAGGGGATGGCTGGTGACCAGTGATGTCAAGCAGTGTCACCCAAGCCCCAGGGAGTGAGTGACGTTCTATGTCAGTGCATCTTGCTGCCACTTTCTAGAGCTCCCAGATTTCTGCCCAGTGCTTTAAAAAACGGCTTCCTCAGCCTGATGTGCTGGTGCACACCTGTGATCTCAGCACTCAGGAGGCTGAGGCAGGAGGACCACCAAGCATTTGAGGCCAGCCTGGGCTACAGAGTAAGACCCTACCTCAAAACAAAACAAAGACACAAATCTGCACATTTTCTTTAAGCGTATATATCCGTGTGGAAGAAAACACCAAGAAAATGGTCCTTACAGATTCACTGCAGCAGAGCCTCCCACCTTCCACTGACTCGCAAAATGTGGTCATTGTGCAGAACCCCACGTGTGGCTGCAGCTTCCCCCAGAGACTTTATTCGGAAGGTGGACCAGGCTAAGGAGGCCCTGGGCAGTGTGGCTGTCATCAGTGCATGAGGGATTTGGGGGGCACAGGAGCAGTCAGGCAGCACCCTGATAGAGGGTGTGGCTAACCGGACTCAGAGGGGGCCTCCAGCCACCCAACGCAGCTCTGAGATTCCCTGCTCCTAAGAAGGTGACTGAGAAATCTAGGATTGGGTTCTTCTGAGATGGACGGGCAGACCCTGGTTACTGCGGGGACATGGCTGCTGTCATGTACATATGACCCATGGCCGCTCTCAGTTTGTGACAGCAAAGCTAGGTACTTACAGTGGAGACCGTATGGCCCTTGCGGCCTACAATATTGGCTTTCAGGCTCTTTCTAGAATCCATTTGCCTGTTTGCAGATCTAGGCTTGGACTATGCTGGTGGGGTATGCCTGCCTGGGCTGTGAGAATTCTCTCTCTCTCTCTCTCTCTCTCTCTCTCTCTCTCTCTCTCTCTCTCTCTCTTGTTAAGTTTTTGAGACAGAGTCTCACTACATAGTTCAGGCTGGCCTCAAACTCTTGGCTCATGATGTCCCATGTAAGATTTCATAGCCAAGCACAAAACAAAAGTGAGCATTGTCACAGGTGTCAGGTTGGACCTGGTGCAGGGTGATACAGTCACACTCAGCACTGGGGACGGAGTGGGATGGTGGGAAGCCCTCGGATGGGGGTGACAGATGGGCCCCAGGCAGCCTTCCACCTCCTGACAGTGCCCCTCCTGCCTCAGGCTCTGCAGTGCCACATCACCAGCCTGACCTTCTGGGACCCCACGTGCCGGGCCGAGGACGGTGGTGAGCAGCTTGTCCTGCGCAGCAACTACTCGAGCTGTGGCATGAAAATGACACCACACGTGGTCAGCAATGGGGTAAGCGCCAGGCTGAGAAGGAATTGGGACCGGCACAGCTGGGGTCCCTGCCACCGCTCCCCGGTTGTGGGGACTGTGGGACGTTTAGGAAGCAAGGCTCTCTGCTCAGTTGGCCTCTGACTCAGTCTTCCCCTCCATTGAATGGGTATGCTGGATGGGGCCCCTTCTGTGTTCCCTTGTGGCTCTGACTAGCCCTTGGCTGTGTCCTTGCAGGTGGTCATCAGTATCCTGTCGGACTCCTCGCCACTGAGGGTGAGAGGGAGAGTACCATGCATGAACCCACCTGCTCCAGGCTTCCAGAGTGGGGGGTGTACCTTAGCATGGGGGAGGGAGCGGGATTCCAAAAATTCAAGCCTTAGCCAGGTGTGGTGGCGCATGCCTATAATCTCGGGACTCAGGAGGCTGAGACAGGAAGGTTGCTGTGTAGTTAAGGCCAACCTGGGCTACGTGGTAAGGTCAAGGCCAATCTAGAATACACAGCAAGACTCTGTCTCAAAAAACAAAAAGGAAACTCAGGCGCTGACCCTGGAAGGCCTGTGTCTTGGGATGCCTCCGTCCCCGCAGCAGTGGCTTCTGGGGTGAGAGGGTTCTAACAAATACCAGCTGTGTAGCTATAGGCAGGTCCCTTCCCCTTTCTGGGCCCTTGTCACCACGATGTCACAAGGGAAGTGTGTCCCATAAGCCAGGTGCCAGTGTACCCTTGATAAATACCTTTAAAGAGGCCCTCAACCCTCCTGGCTGGTATCGCCCAGACTGACAGACTCCCCCCTGCCCTCCTGCAGCAAGACATTAACTGCTTCCATACGGACGGCCTCACCTTCCAGCTGGGCCTCTACCTCAGCTCAAGCTTCCTACAGGCCTCCAGCACCATGGAGCTGGGGCAGCAGGGCTTTGTGCAGGTAAGAGTGCCCTGCCCCAGCCTCCAGCTCCTGCGGCCCCTCAAAGCCCTGACCTTCCACCACTGCTGCGGAAAACACGGGGTGGAGGGGCACATCTGTCATCACAGCGCTCGGGAGGCTGAGGCAGAAAGATTGCCGTGTGTGGCCAGCCTGGGTGACACAGTGAGTGTAAGGCCAGCCTGAACTACACTTCAAGACCCTGTCTCAAAAACAGAACACAACCACCTTTCAGCCTGGATGCATGGTGGAGGGGTAGACAGGGATGGCATTGCTCAGAGATACTGGAAAGAATGTCACCCTCTCTCCTTCCTGTGTGTCCCAGTCCTGTCCTTTCACTGTGAGGGGCAGAGGGCAAGACTGGAGAGTAGCTGCCCATGTCTGGTCCCCTTGCCTCCCTATACAGGTGACTGTGACCCCATCCATTCCTGACATCACATTCCTGCTAGAAAGCTGTCACCTGGACTTGGGGCCTGAGGTGGACACTGTGGAACTCATCCAGGCCCAGGCAGCCAAGAGCAGCTGTGTGAGCCTGCTGCCCCCCGGCCCTGATGGTGCCCCACGCTTCAGCTTCCTCCTCCGTGTCTACAGGGGGCCCATGCCCACAGCCGGCACCCTCAACTGCACTGTGACCCTGACAGCCAAGAACTTGCCCCAGGTGAGGGGGCCCTGGGCCAGCCTTGGCTTAGAGGGTGGCTCCTGGGTCTGGGGTTTGCAGGCAGAGAAGTTAGCAGCCCAGGAGAAACCAGCTCGAGGGGGGCTCTTGCTGCCACCTACAGCTTTCTGGTGGGATTGCTTTATCCATCTACCCATTCATTTACCCTTGCTTTATCCGTCCACCCCTGCATCATCCACCCAGGCATCATCCATCCATTCAGCTACCCCTGCATCATCCACCCAGGCATCATCCATCCATTCATTCACCCCTGCATCATCTACCCAGGCATCATCCATCCATCCATTCACCCACCCCTGCATCATCCATTCATGTGTGCTTCCATCATCCCCCCATCACTCATCCACCCAGGCATCTGCTCACCTACCCATGTGGTCCAATCTCCAACATCATCTCAATGAACAGGGGACTTTAGGGAAGAGGAACAGAAAATCTTTTTTTTTTTTTTTTAAACGTAAATCCTGATTTTCTGGATTTGTTGGTGTCAAACTGCAATGAATCTCCATCCTTAGGCTCTTGGCACAGGACACAGTGACAGGGTCACCCCAAGTCTTTGCACACAGAAAGGTCCTCAGGATTCATAATCTCTCTCTGGGTGTTTGAAACTAGGAAAGCTTCTGGGGGCCCCATAATGGCCTCTGCCTTCAGACTGGGTGTACAGGCCCTCTGGAACTCACAGGAAACACTGTGACAGCCAAGGACTGTCCACTGATGCCATCCCACAATGAGGTCCCCAAGGTGTGCTCCCCACAGGTTCCCAGCTACAGAGTTGGTGGGGGGAGCCACACCCGAGGCACCAGGTCAGGGCCCGGCCCGAGCCAGGGAGGCCAGAATGCTGCCTCCCGGGCCGTGCCATTCCCTGCTTGCTCTCTTCCTCTCCAGGAAGTGAAAAGGACCGTTTCCATGCGCGTGAACATTGTCAGCTCTGACCTGTCTGGTGAGCTCTCCGGGTGCTCTCTGGGAGGGAGGAATGGACAGCCCTGGATGGCGGGGCAGGAGACCCTGTCGCTGACCACAAGGCAACAGCATCACAGGCCTTGGCTCCCTGTCCGGCTTCCTTCTCCACCTGGCTGGTGGCTGCTCAATCTTGTTGGGGGCAGGGCCTCTCAGGTGGAGCATAAGGCCCTTTGGTGGCCTTGTGTTCTTTGAGGACCATATATGGAGGATGCCCCTTCAGCCCAGCACCCCCTGAATTCTTCATCACCTCCCCTGAGCCCAAGCCCTTCAGGCACAAGAGTTTCTGAGGTTGGGGGCAGAAGCAAAAGGTCCCTGACCTTCAGGCAGGGTGGGATCCCTACCCCCAGCCAAGACCCAGAAAGCAGGACACAGATGGCACATCAGAACCTGCAGGGGAGACCCCTGGCCCAGGGGCACCGAGGAGGCAACAATGTGAATGGAAGGAGCCTGGAGAGCAGCACCCCATCCGTGCTGTGCTCTCTAAAAAAGTTTCTTAGTGCAGGCCTCGGGTGTGATGGCCCACCTACCTGCTAGAGGAAGAGACTGAGGTTCAGAGAAGTCAGGTCAGTGACCAGCTGGGATGAGCACAGAAACTTTGCTCCTGGCCACACGGGGTGGCACACACCTGTAATACCTGTACTCAGGAGGCTGAGGCAGGGGGGTCTCAGTGAGTTCAAGACCAGCTTGAGCTACATAGGGAGTCCAAGACCAACCTGAACTACACAGCAAGATCCTGTCTCCAAAAACCCAAACAATTTAAAGTAACTAAATAAAAACCTTGCTCCCAGGCAATCCAACAGGGTTGGGGCAGGGCTGGGGCAGGGCTGGGGCAGGGCAGAACAGCAGCACTGACACCACACCCTTCCTGGGGCACAGGTAAAGGCCTCGTCCTGCCCGCTGTGCTGGGCATCACCTTCGGCGCCTTCCTCATCGGGGCCCTGCTCACCGCTGCCCTGTGGTTCATCTACTCACACACGCGTGAGTATCCCGAACCCCCGCAATAAGTGCTCAGGGCCCCACTGCCACACGGGGCCTGGTGAAGCCTCTGAAGGGGGTGGGAAACCTCAGCCCCCCCCCCACCAGCTGGGACCCTCACCTCCAACCCTGCCCCTGCCCCCAGGTCCCCCCAGCAAACGGGAACCCGTGGTGGCGGTGGCTGCCCCGGCCTCCTCCGAGAGCAGCAGCACCAACCACAGCATTGGGAGCACCCAGAGCACCCCCTGCTCCACCAGCAGCATGGCATAGCACCTGGGCCAGAGCCTCCAGGGCCCCAGCCAGCCCTCACCGGGCAGGAGATGCTGTGCAGTGTCAGCTGGGACCCACTGGCCAGGAGCTTGCCCCAGGACCCCAGTGCCTCGATACCACCCCAGATGGAACACACCCTGCGCACCCACCCCTCCTGCCTGCCTCTGAGAGGCCAGCTGCCAACAGGGGCACCAGCCTGGAACAACTTGGGGGTCCCCCACCCCACTGCACAGAATCTCTAAACCCAGGGCTTCTAGGACCCAGCTGCCCAGGACCACACAGAGACCCCACTGCCCTGTGCGTTCACCTAGCTGTGGACCCTCGAGGCCCTGCCCTTTGAACCCAGACCCGGTGCTGAGGAGCCATACCAGCTGGGAGATGTGAACTCCAGTAGGACTCAGCTGCTGTCACCATCTGGGAAGACAAAGGCCCAGCCCAGAGCCAGCTGGACCTGATCCCTGCAATCTCCATTGGCATGACTTTGATGGAGAAATGGGTGCCCAGCCTGGGAGCCCCGAGGGCGATGTGGAGACCCCTTTCTGGCCAGCTGGAGGAGAGCGGCCAGGCCTCCTCGTCCTGGGCCCACCCCTTTATATGCATCGTCAATAAATCAGACATGAAACCAGGGCCAAGCTGGGCTGCGTGATGGGAGAGGGTCTTGGTGGGGAAGAAGAGTACGGCTCTGAGACCTCGGGACAGGTGTGACATGCTAACATACCATGTTTGGGTTAGATTACTCCTACTGCTTGCTCACTTGGTAGGATGCCCATGGGAGCAGGGATGTGACAAGCAAACACCAGAAGGCTGTGTCCGCACCAGCACAGCTTCAAATCAGGGCTCCAATAGCTCTTGTCTCCCACTAGGACCTGCCACTTACTGTGACTAGCTTTTGTGGCTTTTCCAAGCCAGCTACAGGTCCTGTAATGGTCCAATTCAGTAAGGTTGGGGCTAGGGATTTACCTCAGTGGCATAAGTGCCTGCCTTGCAAGTGCAAGTACGTGGTCGTGAGTTCAATCCCTGGTACCGGTAAAAATAAATAAATAAATAAAATAATTCAGCAAGGTCTGCAAAGCAATGTTTAGGTGTGTGGCCAACAGCCCTGGGCCGTCTTCTCATGTCACAGCCGGGCCACCTGAAGCTCTGTGGGAGGGATTTGTCCTAGGCCACATACCCAAGGCTCACTGCCCATTCTAGTTCCCAGACTTCCTGTACCCCCAAACCCTCACTGTCTGATTGAGGGCAAAGAGATGAAGATCAATCAAAGGTTTTGCCATTTCTTTAAAAATAAAATTAAAAGGCTTTAATTCACTGCAGCTATGCAGTCCCCAGGGTGCCCCAAGCAGGAGCCTCTTTTCCCAGAAGGCACTGGGAAGAGGAAATCTATCACCAGCACATGGCAGGACCCTGAGCCCAGTCAGGTAGGAAGCGCCCACTGTCTGAGCTGGGAGGAAGGCAAGGCCAAGGCACAGGGCTCAGAGGTGGCGCCCTCTTCTACCCCAGTCCGTGACCCAGCCTGGCAGACTCAGAAGTACAAACCAAAAGGCACCTGGCATGAGTTCACAGTGAGAAGGCAGGGAGGGTACGGGGGCTGCCACCTCCCACCCCACCTGTGGCCTCGGCTACTGGGACAAGGAGGGCTCCAGCAGCTTAAGGACGCTGCCCACCAAGTGCAGGCTGCCAGTGACCAGCACGTGAATGGCGCCAGCCTCCTGGAGGACGCTGGCCCCGCTGCTGGCCGTGGGGTGGGCAAGGAGGCCCCTTAAGGGGCTGGGTGGCTGGAAGATAGGGTCCCGGCCTTGGGTGATCCACTGTAGGGCATGTGAGACACAACTGAAGACGAGGGAGCTGGCACTGCAGGGGTGGGGCGTCAGCAGCAGGGGCGCAGGCCCACCAGGCTGCGGGGGGCTCTGGAGGGTGGAGCTGGCCTCCTGCTCGTCCAGGCGGCTCCAGTGCTGCTGGTGCTCCAAGCAGCGGATCAGCACCTGGTCCAGCGTCACCATGAAGTTCTGCTGGTCTGCAATGGGTGGGTCAACCACAGGGGCAGGGGACAAGCAAGGAAAAGGGCTGCTCACTGGGCCTTTCCACACCAGTGCCAACAGCCTCTCTCCCAAGTCCCCACAGTGGACACAAGGAGAAAACTGAGGCTCAGACAAGTTTAACTGTTGCCCAAGGTCTGGGAAGCACAGCCAGACCACACTGTCCTCAGCTGTGAGCTGGGTATCCAGGTGGTCTTATTATTCCTGGGGGGCTGGTTCATATAAGGCTTTCACTCAGAGACTTGTGCTCCTGAGGGCCGGCTGTAATCCCAGCACTCAGGAGGCTGAGGCAGGAGATCGCCCCAAGTGCAAGTCCAGCCTGGACCATGTCATGAGATCAAGGCCAGCCTGAACTACATACATGGTGAGACCCTGTCTCACAAAAACCACCACAAGTAAATACTCATTCCACAGCTCTGCCCAGATACCTGATGTGGGGACTGGAGATCTGTACTTTTAACACTATAAACTTTTTTTCTTTTGATATGATGCATGGCATAAATTTTACATTACAACTCATCACATACATATATATTCTGGAACAGAATCATCAGCAAACAGCATCTACCCTTACTCTGTAGTATGCACACTGGTATTTTCCATTCCACTCCACTTGTCTTTTTTTCTTTTTAGTAGTAAGAATTTAATCCAGGTCTTTGCATTAAGAGAGCTACATCCCCAGCTTTCTTATTTTTTATTTTGAGTTAGGGTCTTGCTAGGTCACTAGCTACCCAGGCTTGGGTCAAACTTGTGATCCTCTTGCCTCAGCCTCCCAAAGCGCTGGGATTACAGGCATACCTTACTATATCAACTCTATTTCATTTAAAGTAAATGCTGGCCGAATCTCACAAAATTGATTTCAATAACCATTTTTTAGGGGCTGGGAGTTTAGCTCAGCGGCGGAAGCGCCTGCCTTGCAAGCAGGCAGTCATGAGTTCGATCCCTGGTACCGATAAAAAAAACCATTTTTTAAAATCCTTTTTCACTACTGCACCTTCCTAGTAGAAAATTCAACATGTACAGAAGGGTATTTATACAATAAAACCAATCAGCATCCTAGGCCAGAGCTCCAGTTTGGAAGTCCCCACTTCCCTATCCCATCACCACAGAGCACCCACCTCAGGCCCCTCAGCCCCCTGGAAACCCCCAGAGGCCACGCCTGTCCCGCCTCACCTGCATTGCCTGAGGATGACACTTCTGTGAGGTTGGGGCAGAAGACAGCATAGTCAAACTGGCAAGGCTGGAAGGCCAAGGACTTGGGGTCAGGAGCCTCACAAGATGCCCCCCACCCTGCCTTCTAAACACCCCACGGTTCCCTCCCTGGACTAGAGCAATAGTGTAGCCCCCACCCCCACCTCAATGTACCCTGCCTGCCCTGTGTCCCGGTAGCAAAGATGCAGTTTTCACAGACGGGGGACAGAAGGCTGGGGGTTGGGGTACACTCACTTAAGGTTGCCCAGCAGAGGGTGACCCCCAAATCCATACTGGAGGAAAAAAGGGCTTAGCACAGGGTCAGGTTCTGGTATGAACAGCCTCAGCTTCCTGGTCTATGAAATGGAAATGATCCCCAGGAGCTACATCCACTCTCCAGCCTACATACAGCAGCCTCAGTTTCCCCACTCTGTAAAGGGCTTCTATGCCTTAAAGCTCTGGGACTCCTCTCGACACAGGTACCCCCAGGGGCAGCCACTCTCATGGGGCAGCAAGCCACGGCTAGGGAAAGGCCATGGCAAGCCTCTCCGTGAGTCAGCGTCACTCGTGGACTGTGGCATGAGAGACCCAGGAGGTGACACCCACATGGAAACCATATCATTTTCATTGTTTTCTTGGGTTGAGTTTTATTCTCTTTTGTTTTGTTTGATTATGTTAACTCTGATGGCATGACTGATGCTATTCAAAAGATGGCTAGACATACTATGGTAGCAATTTTGGATTTACTATTGGCTTATTTTGAAGTCCTTTAGTGCATTCACTGTTTTGTTTTTATTGTTTCTATTCTATTCTGTTCTGTTCTATTTTTACTATGTATGGAGGTGTCTGCAGCTATTTTGAAGACAACCAAAGGCATTATAGTAACTATTGTTGATTTTGCAAGGTTTTGAAGTCCTGCATCAACTATACTGGTTTTTTAAAATCTGTTTTATTCCGTTTTATTTTCCTTGGTTTTATCCTCTTTTAAAGAAAAAAAAAGCCCGGGGCTGGGGATTTAGCTCAGCGGCATAAGTGCCTGCCTTGCAAGCAGGCAGTCGTGAGTTCAATCCCTGGTACCGATAAAAACGAAAAAGACAAAAAAAGAAAAAAAAAACCCATCTCCTGTCCCTCGTGGACCAGTGGCTAACAGCACAGGCCACGTGGGCCTAGAACCCACACCTTTACCTGCCACGCTGTCCTCCCTAACCTGAGAATGTGGCCACGGCCAAAAGAGGACCAGGCTGCCCCAAGTGCCTGCTGCCTTACACCTACCCCTCCCCGCCCCATTCAGAGAGGGGGAGTCAGGCACCAGCTGGGAGCCACACAGCCAGGAGCAGGGCTGCCAGGCCAACTCCCTGCCGGGCTGAGGCCTCACCTGTAACAGCTTTAGCAGGGCCGCAGAGTCTCTGTCCCCAGTGGAATTGAAGAGCAACACCCGGACCTCAGGCCCACTGCACCAGGGGACAAGCAAGAGGGTCAGGGGACGCTGCCGTTTCCACCACTCAGGCCCCTCCCGGTAGACCCAGTCCCTCCCAGAGGACTCCACCCCCGTGTGATGCACACCTCAGGGACCTCTGGTGGCGCTGCAGCGCCTGGCGGAACCAGCGCACACAGGCCTGCATACTGCTGCTGGTATGAGCACCATCCAGGTACCAAGTGAGGGCCCCTCGCCGCAGCACCTGAGTCCGGCCCAGCCACTCCGTGTCCTGAAGCCCTAGGGAGCAGGCAAGGCAGTGCTGGGGGACTCTCTGTGGCCCAGCCCTCCACCCTGCACAAATCCAGAGCCTGCTGGCCACCAGGCCACCCATCACTGCAACTGAAGCTGATCTGGATCAGATCAGAGCTGAGGCTACCTTATCTGTGAAATCTGCCAGGCCACCCTGAGAGGGGGCTGTTGGCATATGCCATCCCATGTGACAGCTCCAGAGCCCTGAGTCACAGCTGCTCTGACAGCAGCCTGGCACACAGTGGGCACCAAGAAATCATCTGCTGAAGGTTCTCACGGCACCAGCACCTACTATGTGTGGGGCTGGAGAGAGTAAGAAACACGCGGCAGAGTCATGACCTCTAGTGACACTGGCAGGAATGGCTGTGCTCACAGCTGGGGCCTACACCACCCATCCTGCAGGCACCTTGCAGCAGACCCTGGCCATGGGTCCCACCATCATCTCATCTGGTACAGGGGGAACCAGGCATGAACAGATTCCGGAAGTCAAGGCCAGGGAGGTGTGGTGACCCTTAGCTACCACTCTGAATCACCCCCATGTCCCCCTCAGGAAACCCTGGAGAGGAAGGGGCGTCCCGGCTGGGCAGGTCCTACTCACCATGCCGCATGTGAGCTGTGGGCTGGAACACGGGGGCCAGAGGCAGCTGCAAGGGGATACTTAGCCCCGATGTCTTCAGTTCCCCAAGGTCTGTGGGGGGCAAGGCACAGTGTGCTCAGGGCCCTCCCCAAGCAGGCTTCCCACACACTGCCTGCCTGTAGCCCCCCGGCTACCCCCAGTGGCCACTCACCCCGGTGCTCCTGCCGTTGCAGCCAGCAGTTGGCCAGCTGCAGAGCCAGGGCTGCGTTGGACCTCTGGTGCTCGCCCTCCAGGCCCAGCATCAGCGGTGGCCCCCCTTCCTCCAGGGCTTCCAGAGGTGGGCATAGGTAAAGGGGGCACTGGGGACAGTGGACAGCGGCTCTCTGCTGAACTGCCACTGCCACCTTGGCCAAGGGACCCTCCCATCACTGCCTACCCACCAGAGCCTACTGTGCCCTGGTTCCAGAACCGAGATGGGCTTTCCACCCGTTCAAGGAGACTCACTGAAATCTGCTGGGCGCGCTCCCTCAGCACTGCCAGGGGACCTTCCAGCTGCTGCACCGTAAAGGCAGGGATGCCAGGCTGTGGGCAGGCCAGGAAGGGTGAGACCAGGGCAGCGAGAGGATCTCCACTCTCCCCTCTCCCACAAGCCTGGGTCTAGACTGTCCCTTAGCTTCTCACTGGTAATGTTTCAGTGAGGCCAGAGAGAGATTCAACTTTGCTGCAACCACAGTGTAAAGCAAAGACAGGAACCCAGACTGGGCCACACACAGTGGTACATGCCTGTCATCCAGCACTGATGAGGCTGAGGCAGAAGGATCACCGTGAGTTCAAGGTTAGCCTGAATTACTTAGCAAGACTGTCTCAGAGAACAAGAGCAAAATCAAATCAAACCAAAAAGAACTTTGGCTAGGCTGATGGCCAGGACTTCAGGACCTCATCCTGAGCACAAAAATGGCTCTGCCCCCACATAAGGCCTCCTGTTCCCTCCCTTCCCCAGCCTGCTCGGTCACCTTAAAGATGCCTCCTTTCTGCCATGCAATCTTTTCCACTGTGTCCCCTAGAAGGCTGGTGTGGTCCATGCCAAGAGAAGACACTCCGCACACTACAGGCTTCCTGTAGATGACAGAAGACCACGGTGTCCTCACCTTGAACCACCAGGCAGCAGGTCAAGCCAGGCGCCTGCTCCCTCCCTGTCCCCAGGCAGCTGCACTGACCTGATGATGTTGGTGGAGTCATAAGCCCCACCTATACCAACTTCTACCACCGCCAGGTCCACCTGCAAGAAACCAGATGGCATAGCGGGGAAGGGATGGATGCCTGGGTGCCATCCAGGAGTGGGAGCCCCCTGGCTTCTGAGCTGCCATCCCAAGAGGCAGGGTGGGGAGTGGGTATGCTATGCACCTTCTCTTGGAGGAAGACGTGGAAGGCCATGAGCGTGAGGAAGCGGAAATAGGCGGGCATGGACACACAGCTGTCATCCTGTGACACGGGAGCACATCAGGGCTGGAAGCCCCTGGACTGGTGCCTGCAGCAGCCCTCCCCGCCCCACCCACCAGCCTGCAGCACACACACCTGGGTCTCCTCCAGCCGGTGATAAAGGCGCCAGAAGTGCGTGGTGAAAAGCTCACGGCTGATAGGCTGCCCGTTGATACGGATCCGCTCACGCACCTGCACCAGGTGGGGAGAGCTGCCGGGAGACCTGGGGTCGTCAGGACTCCCACCCAGAGCCCCTGCTGAAATCCCTCCTGAGGTTCCCTGAACCATCAAGAGAGATCCTCTACCCTGTCTTATTGGACCCACAGAATGAGCAGGGGTGCCACTGGCCTCTGAGTCTTGCCTGCCTTCCCTGCATCACCTGGCTCGTACCTCCTCAATGTGCAGGTCTTGACTAAGAAACTCCCTCCTAGCCAGGTGTGGTGGTGCACACCTGTAATCCTAGCATTCAGGAGGCTGAGGCAGGAGGATCACTTACATACTGAGTTCAAGACCAGCCTAAACTATGTAGTGAGACCCTGTCTCAAAAAAAAAATAGAACAAACCTATCATGGTACCTAGGAAGCAGAAAAAAAAAAAAAAAAAATAGAACAAACCCAGAAACTCTCCTCCAAAAAGGAGGAAAGACTCTCAGCCCTGAAATTAAATTAAACAGCATGTTCTTGATCTCCAAGAGCTCCCTGCTTTTCCTACCATAGTGTTAGTTACTCTGCTAACATCCACCCACAATGCCCACCTGTCTTTCAGTCCTTAAGATAAAAGTCCCTCGTGCTGATTCAAACCAAATCCCTGGGCTGGACATAAGGCCACACGTGCCCAAGTCAGCAAGTAGGATATTTTACAAATAAATTGTTTTAAAAGACAGATTATTGTTTTAGAGTCATGAATTTGAGACAGGGTCTCGCTGTGTAGTTCAGGCTAGCCTTGAATTCTATGGAGCCCAGGCTGGCCTCAAACTCTTGGCAATCCTCCTGCCTCAGCCTCCTGAGTGCTGGGATGACAGGCATGGGCCACCACACCGGGCACATAATAATCTTTCAGTCAGTGACAGATCACGTGTGTGACAGTGGTCCTGTAAAATTATGCCACCTAGTGACATCATAGACATCTGTGGGTACATCAGCTTCTTCTGGGCTAGTCACACAACAAAATCACATAAATGGGGCCAGGGATTTAGCTCAATGACTCAAGAGTGTGCCTGGAAAGCATGAGGTCATGAGGTTGCTCCCAGATTAAAAAAGAAAAAGAAAAATCACATAAGGACACATTTCTCAGAATGCCATTAAGCAGCACAAGGCTAGATTTGAATCCTTGAAGATCCTCCCTTATGGACTCCTTCTCTTGGTTTATCTTAAAGAACTACTGGGGTAAAATGCACTGGCTTGAGATGTTCCGAGGTGGTTTTGGATGCTTACAGAGCTGGGCTAATCCACCTAGTGAAATACAGACCGGTGATGCGGCCCAGAGGTAGGGCACTTGCCACGCATGTATGAGGCCTGGGGTTTGCGCCTCACTTCTTTTTTTTTTTTTAATTTTTTATTGGTACCAGGGATCCAACTCATGACCGCCTGCTTGCAAGGCAGGTGCTTAGGCCGCTGAGCTAAATCCCCAGCCCCTTGCTCCTCACTTCTGCATTGTCAAAAAATCTTTGAAAAGCCGGATGTGGACACGCATGCCTGCAATCCCAGCACTTTAGGAGGCTGAGGTAAGAGGATCACAAATTCAAGCCCAGCATGGGCAATTTAGCGATGTGACCACACGCTGTTTAAGAAAAAACTCTTTCAGGGGCTGGGGGTTTAGCTCAGCGGCATAAGCGCCTGCCTTGCAAGCTGGCAGTCGTGAGTTCGATCCCTGGTACCAATAAAAACAAAAAACACCAAAAAATAAATAAATAAAAGAAAAGAAAAATCTCTTTTCATGTTCAACAAGGGTTGGAGGGGCTGGGAGTGTAGTTCAGCAGCACAGTGCCTGCCTGGCAAGCACCAGGTCCCAAGTTGGAGTTACAGTTCCACAAAAAAAAGGGTTGGGATGTAGTTTAGGGCTGAGTTTAGCAGGGTGAGGTGGCACACGCCTGTAATTCCAGCACTCAGGAGGCAAAGATAGAAGGATTGCTTCAAATTCAAGGTCAGCCTGGGCTGCAAAGTGAATTCAAGGCCAGCCTGAACTGCACAGCAAAATCTTGCCTCAAAAAAAGGGGGGGGAGGGGCACTGGGGATTTAGCACAGTGGCATAAGTACCTGCCATGCAAGTGCACAGTCATGAGTTCGATCCCCGGTACCAAAAAAAAAAAAAAGCCAACAATCTTAAATACTCCTGCCAGGTGTGGTGGCACATGCCTGTAATCCCAGCACTTTGGAGGCTGAGGCAGGAAAATCAAAGTGACTTCAAGGCCAGCCTACACTACATAGTGAGATCCTGTCTCAAAAAACAAAAAAAAATCTTAATGTTCCAACATTAAGGAGTAAATCCAGCGGAAACAACCATCAGGTTGATCCCTTGGCTTTAAAGTGACCAGCAGAGCCTTAACTAAGGCTGGCAGAACTCTGCAGGCTCCCCCTGGAGACCTTGCAATGAGCACCACAAATTACTTTTATCTTTTTTTATTATTTTTTTGAGACAGGGTCTTGTGGCTCAAACTGGCCTTGAACTCACAGCAATCCTCCTGCCTCAGCCTCAGTGCTGGGATTAAAGGTACACACCACCATACCAGGCTTTACCTTCACTTTTAAGCCCTGAAAAGCCAGGTTTCTGCTCTTTACAACAAAGAGCATTCTAACTGGTAACATGTCTGTGGAGCTTAAATATTATATCTGGAATCTAAATTAATAAAAAGACATCTGACTATTCCAACCACATATTTAGGTTATACACTCATGTTACAGTCACCATTGCAGTACTTTTTTGTTTTGAAAACTAAGGACTGCTATCAACTTGGGCAGGTATGTTTGTTGAGTGAATAAACTCTGCAGAGAGTCACATGGCTGGCTTCTTGGAATGGCCTCAGGTCACAGTTCCCCAGAGAGCTCAGAACACATCCCCCCACCAACTAACTCAGTACCTAAAGAATCCAGTCTTCAGGCCATAATTCCGCAGGATGCGCTCAGTGAAGGCACAGGTGGAACCCTGTAGGGGAAAGGCACAGTGTGGGCAGGTCCTACCCTTCAGCCCACCCAGTGGACCTGAGCCCTGGTCCTGCCCCTCACCTTCCCCTTAGTCCCAGTGACATGAATGATGTTCAGCTGGTCCAAATCCTCCACCTGGGACAGAGAGACAAACCCAGTTCAGGCACAAGACTCAGACAGACGAAGATGTGGGGAGTCGCGGCCCCTCCCTTTCTTACCTGCACCCCACTCCTTGCAAGGAACAGCTCCATGGCTTCCATCTGTTTCTGGGGGTCCCCTCTCTGCTGCTTCGCCTGCTCCAGGTAGCTGGCGTTGGTCTGCAGGGTGTTGAGCTTGCGTACAGCATCCTGCAAACACCAGAGTGGCCAGTTAGCTCAGGGCCGGAGGCACTCAGCACACCAGGGGCCAGGCTAGCCCACCAGGCCTGCTATTGCAGCCCTGATGCATAACCTGCAGGGTGAGCACTGGGGAGGGAGCATGGCATCTTTCCAGCTCTGATAAGGATAGGAGCTGGGAGCAGTTCAGCCCCACCCCAGGAGTGCCAGGCAAGGAGGTGGCAGAACTAAGCAAGTTAGTGCTGCTTCTGGCTCGGGCCTCTGGCTGTACTCCCTGAGTCTTTGCCCTCATTCCCTCCACCAACATGCCAGGCCCTGACTGGCTTGGACCAGAACCATGGAAAGCTGAACACTTAGAATTGTGGGATCCAGGGGGGCTGTCATACCCAAGCCTCACAATCAGGGGTTCCACATTCTGACCTCGTGGAGAACAGTTGATTGAAGTAAAGAGAGGAAGAGGTGGAAGCTCAGAGGGAGGACTGTGTGCCCAGGACTGCCAGCCAGAAGAGGCTGGTGGATACAGCCTCAGGAGACGCCAGCTGGGCTGGCGAGAGTGAAGGGCTTGCTTCGCCTAGGACATGGGCCCCATTTCGCTGGCCCTCAGGGCCTCTCGGGTGGTTGGAAGTCCTAATCCCCATGCCCCTCGAACTGGGGACACCTGCCTGGCTGGTAGTAGGCTCTGGCCTCTAGCGACTGGCGCCTGGCACAGCAGCGGCAGACCTCTGTTCTCCAGACTCCGGCCCACTCCTCAATCCCAGGCATTCAGATCCTTAGTCCTCTGAAAGCTGGGGCGGGCTCCACCCCAGATCTATATCCCCAGATCTCTGGAGCGTGAACTCCGAATTCCTTCCTCTCTTCTCTCAGCCGCGCACTGCTGGGAGCACTCTCCGTGGTCACCGAGTCTGGATCTTTCTCGAGTCTCCTATCACCAGTGCGGGTCACAACAGCCTGATTCCGGGCCCAACTTCCTAATCTCTGTCCCCACCCTCTGTCTCCAGGATGTTCCCCCTCGCCTCATTCTCTGGTCCGAGTCTCCAGGTTCCCCCTAGAGCTGGTGGAGCCCGGATGCTGTGCGCCCAGGCCCGCCCCACGTGTCGCGCACAACCGCCGGCCGCCCCATGAGTACCTGATACTCCATGCCTGGCTCCCGCGGTGCTGGGCACGCGCTCAGCCCCCGCCGCCCGGAGACCTCGGTCTTTGCACCGCGCATAGAAACAGCTACCAGGGACAGGGCAGCGCGCAGGTGGCTCCGAGCCTTCGACATACTCCCTAGGCGGCGGGGAGCTCGGCCGGAGGGTGGTGCCCGCTAGCCCCGCCTCCCTGGGCCCCGCCCCTATCTCGGCACGCCCCTGCCCTCCACCAACCAGCGCCGCCCGGGACACACTCATCGCACCAATCAGAGCCGGCGCCTTCCTGGGGCCCATCTTTGTGAGGGGCACGTAGCGGGGCAGCCATACGGTACCGCCCCACTAGTAGGGGGCGCGCTTTTGGGAACTACTCGCTTTTAAAAGGACACGCACTCTCTTTCCGTCGCCATCCTCCCTGCAAACCTGATGTCTGTTCAAAAATAGCCGAGCGTAGTCAGCATCCGTCAGGCCTGAACTAGCCTGAGCCAGGATAGCATGACTGAGCTGGCTGGCTTAAGGAGGTGGCGACATCGCAGCTGAGACTTGTGGGGTGCCACCAGAAGCTTCCAACCTGAGGGAGGAAACTTCTAAACTAAGAGAGGAAAACAATGAATGCCCAGAGAGAAGTGGGCACTCCGGGAACTGATTCCACCTGGCTGCTCTCTACCGCAAGGATGCTGGCTGCAGCAGGCCCTGTAGCCCGGAAGGAATCTGGATTAAATGTGGCTGACATTAACAACGCTTTGTGGAGGAAAACCATGACCACAGTGGCACTTTGGAAGCTCCCTGGGGTTGCTGCTGTGTGGTCAATAGATCTGAGGTCACCTTGGGGACCAGAACGGTCTGTTTCCTACCAGTGGGGTTCCATTTGGGCTAGCGTGAAAAGGGAGCCCAGAGAAATCTTTGTGACAGTAGAGGCCCCAAAGTAAGACAGAGGTACTGTAAGCCTGGTAGGGAAAAACCCACAGAAAACTAACGCGGTTTCAATACTGCTCTTTCTCTTCCCTGCACTGGCAAGTCTGAGGTTGTCTGAAGAGCTGGGCGCAGGGCACAGGCCTGTAATGTCAGCACTAGGGAGGCTGCTGCGGGAGACTTTGGAGTTCTAGGCCAGCCAGGTGTCCATAGTGAGACCCTATCTCTAAAATATAAAAAATGCCAAGAAAATATTAAGTAGTTTGATTTCTAAATAAACAACTGTCCCTAGTGGAATTCTGCCATTTGCACATTGGTGAGTGCCCTGAACTGGCTCCCATAGATGATAGATGTTTTCATCTCTTGGTTTCCATTTTTTTAACTGTTCCGACTTTCTATGCCCATACAAGTGCATATCATGTAATAGCTGCATACATGATTGTGAAGAAGCTTTGGATGTCTTTGTCTTTTGTTTACTCACCAGTTCTACACACACACACTTCCTTCATGGGTAATCTGAGTGTGCGTCCTGTCATTTTCTTTTTTTTTTCTTTTGGTATCAGGGATGAAACTCACAACTTGTGCTTGCCCAGCAAGCGCTTATGCCCCTGAGCTAAACCCCTGGCCCTGTGCTGACATTTTTTTTTTAACTTTTTATCGGTAAAAAAAATAAAAAAAACTTTTTATCAGTACCGGGGATCAAACTCATGACCGCCTGCTTGCAAGGCAGGTGCTTATGCCGCTGAGCTAAATCCCCAGCCCCTGTGCTGTCATTTTCTACACTGGCGGAATCACAGACTCAGCTAGACAGCTATCAAGTTAATTTTTTTTTTTAAATTGGTACCAGGGATTGAACTCACGACTGCCTGCTTGCAAGGCAGGAGCTTATGCCGCTGAGCCAAGTCCCCAACCCCATCAAGTTAATTTCAAGTAACAGTATTTTCTGCATCTTAACTTTGTTACTCAGCTATGTTAAACCGAGTACGGTGGCTACACATCGGTAATCCTAGCACTCGTGAGGCTGAGGCAGGAAGATCAACTTGAGTTTGAGACCAGTCTAGGCTACATAGGGAGACCCTGATTCAAAAAACCAAAAAGGACCTTCTAGACATTCACTTAGGAAACTCAGGTAGCATCCTCTCTGCAGACAGGAATGTGCTGTGCACTCTTGGGCAGTTGCTCACTCTGTCCTCACAGGGACCGTATGATATGGTATCAGTATTGTCACCATCCCGCATTACAGGTAAGGGCGCTGCTGAGGCACAGAGGAGTAAAGCAATGTGCACAGCTCACAAAATCAGCATCTGAACTCTGGCCCCAGTCCTTACTCCCAGCCTCCACCCTGCCCTCTGAGGGTGCCACGAGTTCAAGGTCTTTATTTTTTTTTTTTTAATGTTTAATTCTGTTTTTGTTTTGTTTTTTTGTACTGGGAATTGAACTCACGACCTGGTGCTCTGTTACACAGGTGCTCTGCTGCTGAGCTAAATCCCCAGTCGTGCCCCCCCCCCAAGATCAAGGTCTTTAATGGCTGCCTAGTCCTGGGGCTCTATTTCCTTTTCATACTCACAGATGGCAAGACATGGATAGATAGTGAGCCTGTGTTGTACTTTCTCTGTATAACTTTTGGGTGGTGCTGAGGTCTGAACTCAAGGCCTTAAACTGAGCTAGCTACACTGCAGTCCTTTTGTTTTTTCAGACAGAGTCTCACCAAGTTACTCTCCTGTCTCAGCCTTCCAGAGTGCTGGAATGCAGGTATGCACCACCACACACAGCCCCTATTTTTGGCTTTCTTCTATGGAGTTGAGGATCCAAACTAGGGCCTCATACATTCTAGGTAAGAGCTCTACCACCAAGCACAGCCAAAAACCTCTACAGCCCTTTATACCCAGAACCTCACCATGAACCATGAGCTGACCCACTGGCATTTTTTTTCTTTTGTGGTACCAACTAAGCTGACTTCCTTTTGTGTTTCTCTTTTTAAGATGGGAAGTTGTTAAATTGTCCAGGATAGCCATGAATCTGCAGTCTTCCTGCCTCAGCCTCCCGAGTGCTAGGTTGACAGATTCACAGCACTGTGCCACACTTTGGTTTTTTTGAGGCTGCATGGTGCTCCATAGCATGGAACTACTATTGTGTATTGGGCCGGTCTCCCGGCAAAGGATGTTTAGGTGGTTTCTAGTCTTCTGCCATCACAAGCAGTGCTGTGCCTAGTGATATTTTACTGATCATTTCTCCCAATGTGAGCACAGTCTGAGAAACAATTCCAAGAAGTACAACTGTGGGTCAAAGGCAAGTGGCATTCGACATTTTTATGCTAGTTTTCACACTGCTCCTAAGAAATGTGGTCCCAGCTTCTCCCTTCCCATAGGGCGAGGCCAGCATTTCCTCTGTGCCTCCCACCCAGGCTGGGCTGCCCATGAACGGTGGGTTCTCAGGGCTGTTACTATAAAGGAGGCAGAGTACTTTCTTTCCCTTGTTTTGCTTTGCTTTGTTTCATTTTGTTCTTTTTTTTTTTTTTTTTTTTTTTTTGTCTTTTTTTCATTTTTATCAGTACCAGGGATCGAACTCACAACTGCCTGCTTGCAAGGCAGGTACTTATGCCGCTGAGCTAAATCCCCAGCCCCTTCATTTTGTTCTTGAGATGAGGTCCCACTAAAGCTCAGGCTGGCCTTAAACTCACTATGGAGTCTAAACTGGCTTCAAACTCCCAGTGATCCTCCTGCCTCAGCCTCCCCAAAGCTAGGCTTAAACTAACCCAACTTACTGTTTCTTATATTTAAAAGCCATCTGTGTTTCCTTTACTGTCCACTCACCTACTTTGTATAATAGCTGCATACTAGAGAAGCCACAGATGTTTGTAGAAGGAAACAGAAGTATAAAGGTGCATACCCATAATCCCAGCACTCTGGGAGGCTGAGACAAGAAGATCTCAAGTTCAAGTCCAGCTAGGATAATTTAGAGACTAAGTGAGGCCCTATGTCACGATTTTAAAAAATAAAAATTATTAAAAGGGCTGGGAATGTAGGTCTGTGAAAGCCCTGGGTTCAATCTCCAGTACCATACAAAATATAAGAGAAAAGCAAAGACAAAAAAAAAATCAAAGGCACTTTCTTCATACGCCTGCCAGGGAATGGCTCAGCTGTGGAGGCAAATGCATCCTGCTGTCTATCTCAGGAAGACAACAGGAATAAAGTCATTGTCATGAAAGAACAGGAAACAAAGTAAGGGGGCGGAGCCCAGGTGAGCGTGGAGGAGTGATGGAGGCTAAGGACCCTACTTTACCCCTACCTTCCCAAAAGAAGGGGAGCTGCTCATTCATCCACCATCATCTGGTGAGAAACCAGCACTGTGCTGGGCCCTGGGTTGGATGCCAGGGCTCTGCGGGGAGAGGCGATGAGGTTGGTTGTACTCAGCCCAGAACAGGGGCTGAGAGGTAACCAAGGAAGGAAACCGAAGCAGGGGTGGTTATGCTGTCCACTTGTAATCCCAAACACTGGCGAGGCTGAGACAGGAGGATCGCCATGAGTTCGAGGCCAGTGTGGGCAAAGGTCTTTGACAATTGTGGCAACATCCACTCATGATAAAAACCCTCAAGAAAGTCAGTGCAGAAGGCCTCATCTCATTTTGATAGGAGACATTTGACAGCCGAATGCCAACATCATATTAAATGGGGAAAAAGTGAAAACCTCTCCTCTAAAATAAAGAACAACTGCCAGGTGTGGTGGTGCACCTGTCAGCCCAGCACTCAAAAGGCTGAGGCAGGAGGACTGCACGAGTTTGAGACCAGCCTGAGTTCCACAGCCAGACCCTGTCTCAAAGGACCAAAATAAACAATAAAATGTGGGATTGTTTCTTCAGTTTGCTGTCTCATCTTCCCAGCACCCTGCTTCCCTGCCTAGTGCCAGCCTGGACCCCCATCAACAGGAGAGGAAACTAAGGACCAGAGCGGAATCCCTCGCTAAGGTCCCCAGCTAGTAAACAGCAGAACAAGGACTTGGAGCAACCCAGGGCCGACTGATTTCAAGCAGCTACTGATTTCTCTCTTTAGACCAAAGTTGGAAGTTCCTGGCTAGCATTTTAATTTGTGGTGTGGGCTCTTTCATTTCTTTTTGAGACAGGATCTCACTAATTTGTTAAGTTTCCCAAACTGGACTGAAACTTGGAACCTTCCAGAGTGCTGGGATTACAGGCCAGTGCAGGCTGGCTTTCAACCTAGATTTTCCTAAATAACACTTAAACATCTGCATTGCGCTGATGCTGTAACATGGGCATCTTCAAGGAAGGCTGTGTCCAGAGCCCCATTCCTCAGCAGTGACAAGGCCAAATAGCCAGGGTGGCTTAATCACGCACAGGGTCAGGCTCCATGCCCAGGCCATTCCTGGCCCCTGCCCTAGCCTGGCACGGGCCTTGTTAGGTGACTGGAGTTGTTTGACCGAGCATGCTCTGTACTTAAACAGGCTCTTGCTTCAGCCAGAGGCTCTGCTGCTGGTGAGGGGCCCCATGAGATGCCACTGCCCCCTGACCCCAGGGAGGCCCTGACTGCAAAATAACCCACTAAGTGACCCTGGGCAAGTCCCCTTATTCCTCCAGGGCTCCAGTCTCTAAGGTAAGGATGCCTGCCAGACCGCAGAGAACACCCTGCCTCCACTGCCAGCAGGTTAGGCAGGCATCCAGGGGTCTGAGAAGTACCCGGAGCTCTGATACCATTTCAAAGAGACTGGTCCTGTGGTGCCTTCCTACAGGAGGCTGGGCCATGTAAGTCCTCTACCCATAAGTGGATCCCCCCAGGGACCTGCCCCCACCAACTCCCAGTCAGAGATGGTCTCCCCTGGCTGAGGTCCAGGCCCCTCACTTTGCCGAGCCCCTGTCCTCCTCTGTCCAGCTGTCCCCACCTCTGAGCATGTGCTGTAACTGACTGAAGAGGTGCTGGGCCCAGGACCTTCAGCCAGGTTCCCCTGGGAGTGGAGTTTAGAATCTCCAAAGGCTGGGCCTGAGTCCCAGGCCCTAGGCCCCAAGGGATGTTTACACCCCTCAGGCTCCCTAAGAAACTTCTGCATAGTGGCGCACACCTGTGGGAAGCTGAGGCAGGAGGATCACTGAGAGTTCAAGGCCAGCGTGGGCAAGTTCAACCACAGTAAGCAAGACCTGGTCTCAAACAACAAATCAAAAAGTGAGAGCCTTAGTGAGCCAGGTGACTTGCCCAGGACTGCAGGGCTCTCCTACCTGGAAGGAGGCCATGGTAGCTGCCAAAGCACAGCCGGGTGGCACTTGCCGCTGCATGCTCGCTGCCCACCACTTCTCAGCCACTGAGAACACAGGCAGGGACCTGGAGCCCTTTCAACCCTGGTTTCACCTCCACCAAGCCAGCTCTGCCTGCTGGGATGAAGCTGGGGACTCCCTGTTCTCCTCTGCTGGGACTGGAGACAGAAGTTGGGGGAAGAGGTTTACCTGATAGGTTCGCATCCCCATTCCAGGACCAGCCCAGGGACCTCCCCCAGGCCTGGCAGGTATCCTGACCCCAGGGCTACTCAGAATGGCCCTGGAGTTAAATAACAACGGGACAGGGACAGGACAGGACAGAGGTCAAAGGTAAACAGGGCGGGGTGGAAAGGGATGGGCCTGGGAGACTTCAACCTTTTGTGGGATTTAGGATTTATCATTTATTTCTCTACCTTCTCACATAGCAGGGTGTGGTGGTGCACACCTGAAATTCAGGCACTCAGCAGGCTGAGGCAAAGACGGAAGTATCATGAATTTGAAACCAGGCTGGGCTACAGTGAGTGAGTTTAAACCCTAAATTACATAGCTGAGACCTTGTCTCAAAAATAAAAAGAGCAGGGCTAAGTGTGGTGCGTATGCCTATAATCCTAGCACTTGGGAGGCTGAGGCAAGAGGGTTGCTAAAAGTTTGAGACCAGCCCGGGCTGCAAAATGAGCTCAAGGACAGCCTTCATGAACTGTGTATCGAGACCCTGTCTCAAAAAGCCAGTAAATAAATAAATAGGGTTTATTACATGAATAAAAATATGAGAAAACACATGAACAGAACCACCTACCTGCCTCAAATTCGTGAGGGCTGGATTCAATTGTGCCACCCCACTCCCTACCCCCATCCACATCTGCCTGCCTTGGGATTTCTGTTCTCAAGTCACACTGATCCTGGGCTGCCCCACAATTGGTCTCTCCTGGTCCTTTGTTGTCCCAGACAGCCCCTTCCCTGGCCACTGGGCCAGGGAGTTAGTTGCACACTCACTCAGGCTGCATCTGTCTGGCCTGGAACATACCCGGAACCACAGAGATTGGTGGTTTGGCGACCAGCTGCAGCCCTAGATGTTGGGAGGAATAAGGATGGTGAGAGGATGAGGAGACCAAAGCTGAGGTCAGGAGGAGCCCCCTCCCCTGACAGCAGAGAAGGAACTGCTCAACCACCTAACTACCTTTATTTACACACTCTGGAAGATATGGATGTTAACCCCACTGCCCAGCAACTTGTTTGCCTGGTGGGCCTGGGCCCCTTTACTTTTCAGAGTTACAAGGCTTTATGCACTGTGTTTTGGGCTGTTTTTTCAGGCGTGGTGTTGCTTTTGTTTCAAAAGTGATCAATCTCCAGCTTCAACGGCTCCCTACAGTGAGGGGTGAATAGAGTCTCCGAAGAAATTTCTGTGAGGTGGAACTATTGGGTCAAGAATATGAACGCTGGGAGTGTAGCCACATACATCATGGGTCAAACCTGGGGTTCCTTCCTCAGCACGCACACAGGAGTTAGGGTACAGGCATGATGGGATACACCTCTAATCCCAGCACTCTGTGAAAGAGGCAGGATTGTAATTTCCAGCCCAGCCTAGGCAATTTAATGAGACCCTGTCTCAAGATAAAAATAAATGTGGGAGTGATAGCCCATGCCTATAGTCCCAGTACTCGGGAGGCTGAGACAAGAGGATCACTGAGTTTGAGGCCAGCCTGGGCTACATAGTTAAGTTTAAGGGCTGCCTGAACTGCATAGTGAGACCTTGTTTCAAAAAATAAAAAATTTGAGCCACGCATGGTGGCTCACACCGGTAATCCCAGCACTCGGGACTGAGGCAGGAGTATCGTTGCAAGTTCTAGACCTGCCTGGGTTACAAAGTGAGTTCAAGGCCAGCCTGAATTGCAGAGACCCTGTCTCAACAAGACAAGAAAATAAATTAAAATTTCAAAGGGCTGGAATTGTAGCTCAGTGTGAAAGACTCGTGTTCAATCCCCATTATGACAAAATACAACAAACTCTTTTTAGTGAAACCCTCTTTCTTCAGACAAAAAATACTTTGAAGACCCGCCCCGTCCTATGAATTTGAGCTAATCCTCAAAACTTTGGATGCCAGGGGCCACCAGGGCAGACCCTGGAGGCTTTTCTCACCAAGGCAGAGATGCCATCCTCAGACACCCATGAAGCAGGACACCAACCTCCTCTTTGAAGCCCGAGCGTGCATCAAGCGCTCCGACTCAGGTCTGGGTGCCCCAAAGCCTGACAGGCTCACAGGCAGGGTGTTTGGAAGGTGGCTGGGCTTGGGAATGTGACCGTGCACTAGGGAGCCCTACCCCGGACAGTAGTGTCACCAACAGTCTCACTGCTTCCTTGCCAGGGACCCTGTCCTCTGTGACGCCCTCTGTGTCACCCTGCCTTGGAGCCTGCCGAATACAGACAAACCTCTCCCAACTGTGAGAATAAACCTCTCTGCCTCCAACTTTTGGGTATCCAGTATTTTGTCTCAGCAACAAGAAGAGTGACTAAAGACACCAGCAGGTAGAAGAAAGAAGCCTCAAGACTCTAGTGACTTCATGCACCAACCCTAGCTGTGGTTGCAGGCTAAAGTCGGGGGTCTGAACACAGAAAACACACAGCACTTACAGGAAAAAAAAAAGTCAACTTTTAATAACTGATCAAACTTCATCCAGGAATGTCTCTGAACAACTGAGGCAAAAAACACGATAAAATTCTTCTACTGAAGAAACCAAGAGTTCTCACAGGCCCCCATGCTCCTGAGGCCCAGGCCAGGGGCAGGAGGCTCCCAGGGCTGGCTCTGATCCCGTGTCTCTCACCATCCCAGGGAGGACTGCAGAGGCCATGGATCAGCGAGGGACCCACCCCTCCTCCTGTCCCATGGGCCCCTTAGGAAGTCACCACTGGGGAAACTCCTCCCGCCCTCTTCCCATCCTAAGGTGAACGGATACCCTCCGGGCAGGGGGAACTGCACTCCCGCAGCCCCCTGAACTTTGACCAAGGCACTGCTTGCCTGCTCCGCTGGCTGCTTCTGGTGCCCATGCAAGGGATTAAATAAAACGTAGAAAAGAACTGAAACGCCCTGCAGCCTCTGCAACACAAAAAAGTCCCATAGCAGAAGTGAAAGGGCACCCCAGGATGGGTGGCCCGGCCGTCAGAACACGCGCTCGAACTCCGTCTGGTTCGTGGTGGCTGGGTTGCGGCTCTGGTTGGTGGTCTGCTGTGTGATCTGGCTGCCCTTTCGACGCGGCGGCGCTAGGTACTCAAACATGGATGTCAGGTGGGTGGACAGCATGCCCTTGAGGTCCGAGGGCATGGGGTCGGACCAGAAGAAGTCGTGGTTGAGGGCATCATCGCTGTCGATGCGCTGCGCAGGGTCCAGGACCAGCAGCTTGTCAATGAGGTCCAGCGCGTAGGGGTCACGCACATAGGCCTTCAGCCTGTCCTTCACCTTGCGCTTCTGGCCCTTGACCAGCTCCAGCTTCTCAAACAGCTCATATTTGTCCACATTCGGCCACACCTGGAAGCGAGGCAGTGACAGGGGAGTTAAGTCAGCTGCTGGCCATGCACCAAACACTCCCGGACCACTGCCAGAGGGAGAGCTGGGCCCCTCCCAGGGAAAAGCGGCAGTGACCACACCACCGCAGATGTGGCACATGTCAAGTGCCTGGCATTGTCACACAAGCCACCTGGGATACCTGTGCCAGCCAACCATGACAGGAACACACATTTTATTTTTCTGCAGTACCAGGGATCAAACCCAGGGCCTTCTCACTGAGCTATATACCTGGGTCTTTTGAGACAGATCTTGCTAAGTCATGACATTGCCCAGGCTGGGTTAGAGGTTTACTCCTACATCACCCTTTGAGAGTGCTGAGATTACAGGTATATACCACCAAGTGTTGTTTTACAGCACTGAATCCAACACCCTGCCCAAGGTCACAAAGCCAGCTGGGGCCAGGCTGAAACCCAAACACAGTCTGAGAGGATCCAGAGCCCAGGCCCTGACCTTGCACAGCTCCTTCCCTGGTGAGGATTCCAGCTCCTGCTGCCCTGCCCACCCCTCTGCACCAAGGAGAGGACAGCCTCCAGTCCCACTCCGCTTAGCCACACACCTCCGGCGTGATGGAGCCACAGAGCTGGCTGATGAGGGCGAGCTGGTGCTGCTCCGTGTTGCCCTGCATGATGGGGCTGCGGGTCCACATCTCGGCCATGATGCACCCTGCACCCCACAGGTCAATGGGCGGACCGTAGTCCCGCTCCCCTGGGAAGAAGAGCGCACCAGGAAGGCCCCTTGAGCCTGTGTGCCTCCGGAGACACGGTGCCCCGGGGCCAGAGGCCTAAGAGGCACTGGCAGTGGGAGGTGGTAGGAAGCTGTGGCTGGGTAGGTGCCCAGCCCCTACCCCCCTGCGCCAGCTCGGGATCCTCACCGAGCAGCAGCTCCGGGGGCCGGTACCAGAGCGTCACCACACGGTTGGTGTAGCGGTTAGGCTGGCTGTTCTTGGCCAGGCTGAAGGCCCGGGCCAGCCCGAAGTCTGCCAGCTTCAGGACCCCATCCCGAGTGATGAGCACGTTAGCAGCCTTCATGTCCCTGTGCAGAATCTGCGGGGCAATGGAGGGGAGGCTCAGCCTCATCCCCAAGGGTCCTCAGTTGCGCCTGCGTGGCAGCAGCCCTCGCCCACTCCCACCTTGTTCCTGTGGATGTAGTAGAGGCCGTTGAGCAGCATCTGCATCACCCTCTTGATCTCAGACAGCGTGAACTTGACTAGGACGTTGCTCAGCAGCCCCGCAAGATCATGCTCGCAGAAGTCGAACACCAAGTATATGCTGCCCTTGCAGCGGTTATACGGGGAAGCTGAGGCACGAAGGGCAAGGCAGAGTCAAAACTCTTAACCCAGCTCGCTCAGCCACCACTGGCTCCCACCCACTCCAGCTTAGACACCTTTGGACTCTAGAGCACCCATGGTGCAAGCGCTTCACTGGGGGCAGGAGGGGAAGCACTGGCTCGATGGAGGACAGGGCAAAAGCAGTGGATGTGTCAGAGTCAAGAGGAGGCAAGTTAAGAGCTTCCGGCTCAGCTTTCACACAGGCTCGGTTGGCCTCATTTTCTGGTAAGATCCACGTGACTCACCTTTGGTTCGACAAATCTCAATCAAGTTGACCACATTCTCATGTTTGAGAAGCTGAAGAATCTTGATCTCCCGCAAGGCTGTGATGGGGAACTGGGCAGGAAAAAAAGAGAGAAAGAAATGGTCTTAAGTGAGAGTATTCAGCCAGGTATGGTGGCGCACGCCCGTAATTCCAGCACTCGGAGGCTGAGACAGGAGGATCATTTTGAGTTTCAGACCAACCTGGGATGCAAAGTGAGCCCAAGACCAGACTCACCAGCATAGCGAGACCATGTCTCAAAAACACACACACACAAAAAACAGCCTTCCTTTGTAGAGATGAACTTATTATGCTTCCAATTTAGACATTTATCCTGCAGCTCAGCCACTAGGTCCTTATTCATGTAATAAAGCGAATGATGCCATGAACAGACTTGCTGCTCCTGCCTCCCAGGTTAACTGGAATGCAACATTCCACAACTGCTGACAGAGCACAAGTTGAACAGCCCAGGAACTGTACACAGGAACAAAGCAGAATTCCAAAGGAAATGTGATCTCAAAACAGAATTGTAGGGGGCTGGGGATTTAGCTCAGCAGCATAAGTGCCTGCCTGGCAAGAGCAAGGTCGTGAGTTCAATCCCCAGTACCAACCCCCCCAAAAAAATTCAGAATTGTATAGCACAATCTTTGGGTTTCAGAAAGATGTGACACGGCCCTCCTATATGGCAAAGAAAAACGAACGGATACTGGTGATGCTAACACTGCACCATGATGGAAATACTGATAGGGAAACCTTGATAAAACAGAAGCCTGAAATGCAAACTTTTTACAATAAAACCAAAGGCCAAGGAGACGCTGTTGATGAGTTATGCAGTAACTGTGATGTCACTTGACACACAAAGCATTGGCCGATGACGTTTTACTTGATCTTAAACATGTGTGGCATAGCTAGATAGTTTACCAAGATAACAAGTGCAAAACAACATGGAGAAATTTTCTTAGAAGACCGAGACTGGAACTCATAAGCAAGCATTCATAGCAGAGGAAAAACAAAATGTTTCTGCCCAGGGAATTACACAAAAAACTGTGGAGCACACTGGTGAGCTGACAGGTGAACGGGCAGGTGCAGCATCACAAAGACCTCCTATGACAACGGGGAAAATCACAGGAAAGGACAGGGAAGCATACCATTAGTATAAGCAATATTTGTGCATGAGTAGTTGTCATGTGTGCAGACTGCCTTGGGTGGGACAGCTGACATACAGATTTCTGTGGAAGACTTTTGTCTGTATTTACATTGTAGTTGGGGCTGGGGATTTAGCTCAGCGGCATAAGCGCCTGCCTTGCAAAGCAGGCAGTGGTGAGTTCCATCCCTGGTACCGATAAAAACGAAAAAGACAAAAAAAAAAGAGAGAACTTTTACATTGTAGTTCACAGACTTTATTTCTGGTGTTATCTTTTAGGTTTTGTAAGCAAGTACACAGCTGGTGTGAAAATGGTGATGTCTATTCTAACCACTCATTATATATTTGACATTTTATTAGAATCGTATTTTCCTGCTGAGTACACACTATACAATACAGTAGGAAGCTCCTGACAAAACAGGAAGACAAGAGAGATGCAAAAACCGCCTGCCACATGTGAAAGGCAAGCTAAGCACAAGTGCTGTCAGGGTGAGATTTGTATATGGAATGCTGGGGTTGGGGATTTAGCTCAGCGGCTCAAGCACTTGCCTGGTAAAAAAGTGTGTAGGGGGCTGGGGATTTAGCTCAGCGGCACAAGCACCTGCCTTACAAGCAGGCAATCGTGAGTTCGATCCCTGGTACCGATAAAAAGAAAAAGACAAAAAAAAAAAGAGATTGTGAATTCAATCCCTGGTGCAGAAGAAAAACAAAAAACAAAAACAAAAACAAAAAAAACAGGGGGTGGGGGACATGTTGAAACAACATCTTACAATGCAGTCCAGGCTGGCCTTGAACTGATAGTGATCCTCCTGCCTCAGCCTCCCAAGTCCAATGGCTGTTTAAAATTCAAGAAACCTTCCAAGAGTAATGGTGCACACCTGAGATCCTAGCACTCTGGAGGCTGAGGCAGGAGAATGGCCATGAGTTCAAGGTCAGCCTGAACTATAGAGCGAGACCTTTTCTCAAAAAAAAAAAAAAAAAAAAAAAAAAAAAAAAAAAAAAAAGGGAGGGGGGTTGCTGGGGATTTAGCTCAGCGGCATAAGCGCCTGCCTTGCAAGCAGGCAGTCCTGAGTTCGATCCCTGGTACCGATAAAAACGAAAAAGACCAAAAAAAAAAAAAAAAGCTTGTGCAGTGGTGTAGGCCTATAATCCCAACTGAAGCTGGAGAATCGCAGTGAGTTGAGGCCAGCCTCAATGACACTGTAATTACTTTCCTGCAGGATATGGCAGCACATGCCAGTAATCCTAGCAAAAGGAAGATCACCACAAGTTCAAGGTCAGCATGGACTGTGTATAAATTCAAAGCCAGCACCCTCTACATAATGAGTGCAAAATCGGTCTGGATTACATTGGGAGACCCATGTCTCAAAAATAAAACAAAAAAAAGATTTAAGAAATTTCCTTGCAGAAAAGTAGGTCTCTAGGAAGCCCTGCAATGGAGTTAGGAGACAGACTACTTTTTGATATGTTCCCTTTTCGGTCACTTTAAGAAAAAAACTATGCCATGCACGACATGATAGCACACTCCTGTAATACCAGCACTCAGGAAGCTGAGACAGGAGGATCACCTTGACTAGTTCAAGGCCAGACCTTGTCTCAAAAAATAAAAAAAGCAAAGAAAAACTACATGTCTGTGCTTTCCCTCTACATTAAAAAAAGAAAAACACTAAGGAAAAGGTATTTAAAGGCTGCTTATCTCCACAACCAATGTGTACTCCAGGCAAGATCTATCCCCCTCCAGAATCTCCCTGTATCTGCCTAAAACTGAAACATCAGATACACCAGAACATTTGAATTAAAAGACATAGATGGAAGGCCAAATTCCCTACAATACAGATATTTTCAAGCTACTAGTTATATAATAAATCTCCTAGATGATCTTTCAGGACAGCTGGCTCCTGGGACCAGTACTCACCCCTTCCTTCTCGTTCTCCATCAGTACCTTCTTCAATGCCACCTTCTGGCCGGTCTGGCGGTGCTTGGCTTTAAACACCTCCCTGCAGCCGAAAAAAAGGGCGCCAGGGGAACTCAGCCGTAATTCCGCAGGGCCCGCCCCTCCCCCAAGAGCGCCGGGGCGACAGGAAGGAGATCCTGGCGGGGCGGGGCCGGCGACCCGGGCACGCGGCTGCTCCACCACCCCGTCCCTGCGGTCTTTCTTCGAGCTTGTTTCCCCATCCCCGATCCCTTCTCACCCTGGCATGGTCAGAGAAATCCCGCTCCTTTCCAAGCGCCTCTCTGTAAGCCCTCCCCGCCCTCCAACTCAGATCTCAAGCTTCTCTCCGCCGGCCGGCGCCGGCAGGCCCAAGCGGGCTATGGCGCGGTCTAGTGAGCTCAAAGAACAGCGCCGGGGATTAGCGGCTTCCAAACTACCTCGCGCCGCGCCCTGGGCGTCCCGACGCGAGCCCTGAAAGGTACAGGCCCAGAGCTTCCGGCCCCTAGGGGCCCAGGCTTACCCAAAGGTCCCTTGGCCGATCTTGGCAAGCTTCTCGTACTTGGTCACCTCATCACAAAAGGGGCATTCCACTGAGTCGTACTGCTTTGCCATGGCTGCCTCCAAAGCGCCGCCGCCGCCACCTCCAGCCGCAGCAGCAGCCGCAGCCGCTCCGGGTCCCGCCGCCGCACTCCAAGCCCCTCCGCGGCCGCGCCACTTCCGCCTCCAGGGCCACTTCCTGCCTCGCGGCGCTGATCCCGCCTCTTCCGGCCGCCGCCCGCCGCCAGGCCCCCTGGGACTTGTAGTTCCCGGGAGGCCAGGGGGAGCGGGAGCTGCAGAGGCGCCTCCGCCGCCGCCGCTGCTGCCCCCGCCTCCGCCACCACCACCGCCGGCGGCGGCCCCGATCGGGGGCGCAGGAAGCCGGGGCGCTGGGGCTGGGGCTCGGGGCGGTGCGTCCCGCTGCATCGGCCCAGGCCGCGCTGCTGCCGGAGCTGCTGCCGCTCTGGCGCCCGATCGGGGGCCAGCCGCAGTGCCCTGCTCCTCCTCCTCCTCCGACGGCGCCGCCTCCGCCGGGCTGCGCGTGGCGGCGGAAGGGGGGGCGGCCCCCGAGCAGCGGCCTGGGGGCTCCCTGCCCGGGCCCGGGCCCGGGGCGGCCGGGCGAGGGGACAGCCGGGAAGCGCCGAAGAGGAGGCGGCCCGAGAGCCCAGGAGGGGGCGCGTTATAAAGGGGGAGGTGCCCGGCCTCCCTCTCCTCCCCCTCCGCCGCCCCGCCCTCCGCGGCCGCACCTGCCGCCGCCCGCCCGCCGCCCTCGGCGCGTCACCGCCCGTGGCCCCTCCTCTGCTCTCGGAGGTGGGGCCCCGCGCTTGACACCTGGCCGCGCAGCGCCCTGCCTCTTGCCTCAGTTTACCCCCCAGCACAGCTGCCGTGGGGATCCCCCTTCCTCCCCGGCTGGGAGGGCACCCCCAGAGGCGAAGTCGAGAGGCGCCCAGGGAGCGGCCTCCTGCCTTGGAAAGAGAGATCTGCCCCCGCCGCCGCCGCTACCGCTGCCACCGCCTCCGCCAAGCCCCCGCCACCCGCCGTTGACATGGTAACCGACGGCCGCCAGGGGGCGCGACGACACTGGAGGCGGTGAGCGAGCAACGCCAGGCCCTCTAGCCCAGGACACCCCTCCACCCCACCCCACTACCGGTTTTCCAAGAGGCAGAGGCAGGGATGAGACTCAGAAGAGCTCTGCCTCTGCCAAACTGCGCCAGAGCTGGTCTGGCCTGAGCCAAATCATCGCAAAAAGAGCTAACATTTATTCAGCACCCCCAAGTGCTCTCAAATTGCTAGGGGGTCCTACTGAATCTGGAACTAAGGGCCTCATGCACTCGACCACTCACCCATTTTACAGAGGAGGACGTTGAGGTTCAGAAAGGGAAGGTCATTTGCCCAAGGTCACCCAATAACAGAGTTGGATCTTCAGTGTGAAGCATCTTGAGGCTCCCACTGTTCATAGCCTGGCCAGGAGGATGGCAACGGGGCCTGCTGGCCTTATTGCAGACACCAACCTCCCTAACCCACCCCTCTCAACCACCCTAACTATTGCTTCCCCAGCATCTTTCTGGTCCTGGAAGCCTCCTACCTTATCTGCCAGTTCTGCCTAGTTAGCAGCCCAGCAAAACTCTCTTCCCTACCTCCTCTGTACCCGAAGTCTGTCTCTCCAGTCTGCTGTGGATGGTCCCTAAGAGGTCCCCCAGTTTCCCTCACCCTCCTGCCCTCGGGTTGTGCTCCCTTGATCCCAACCCACTTCCAGCTCCCGCTCTACCTGCAAAAATCTCTCAGATTGCTCCTGGCTTTCACCCTGCCTTGGAGCCCCCTCCTAGGGGACTTGGAATGGTGTAGATGATCTTGGTGTTCCCAGAGGCCCTGTTCTGGGGAAAGGCCCTGCCTAGGAGGGTGTAAAAACAGGGACTGGGAACAGGGTTAGGAACAGGGATTCCTCTCCTGGGGGCAGTGTGGAGCCAGGTCAAGGAAGGAACTAAAGCCGCCTTCATGTGTATATTGCGGGTTAAAACCAGGAAGCTGTTGAATCAGAACTAAAGAGGGAGAAAATAACCGCAGTAGCTACAATTTGTTGTGAGAAATTAATGGCCTAAGCCCTGCACTTAGTACTTTCTGTGAATTAGGTCAAATGTCAGCCAGATGAAGTGGGTGCCACTTATCACCTCCACAAAAAGTCCGGAGACACAGAAGTGGTGTCGCTTACCTAGGGTCAAACAGCTGGCCCGGGGGCGACACTGGTGTTAGAAGCAGCTTTAACCTGCTCAGGAGTCCCCAAACCTTGCAGCTGTCAGGCCCCGCCCACCCGAGCCAGGTCAAAGCCTAGAGCCAGGCGAGATGTGGGAAGGAAGGCAGCACTGGTGGACCAGACCTGCCCCTGGCTCGCCTGGCTTGTGCTGTCAGCCAGTCAGGCCCAAGTTGGCTGCTTGTTTCCCATGAACCCTCCCTAAGTCACATCCTGTGGCAAAGGACTCAGCTGAGTTTCCGGTGATGTTGTCACCTCCACCCAAGTATACCTGGCCCGAACACTGACATCTGCCAGTCACTTCCCCTCAGGGCTGCAGGGGTTCAGCTCTGGTGGGGAGGAGGCCTGGAGCCATCAGGGGCCTTGGGAAGGCCACCCAGCTGCTTAGGCCAGGGCCTCACAGCACCAAGGCTGGCAAAAGCTAGGAAGAACGAGCGATTATCCACTTGCTTTAAGCTATTTTGCTTTTGTTTTGTTTTGTTTTTTGAGACAGAGTCTCTGATATGCACCGGGCTGGCCTCAAACTCCCAGGAGCCTCAGCCTCCTGAGCACCGGGGCTGTAGGCGTGCCCCACCACACCAGCTGTTTAGCTAGTTTCAGAGTGATGTCGCCTGCTTCTGGTAGGGTGACTAAACTGGTACGATCCAGACCGGTAGTCTGTTCTCAGTTAAAGTCTGTTGACTGGCTAGCTGAGCAGGCCCCAAGAAAGCCTCTGATCCTGTGCCATTTAACTGTTAGGGAAACTGAGGCACTAAGTAGGAAAGTGAGCCGCTGGATGCACCATGGTCTGGATCTCTGGAGCACATGGAAGGGAAGGAAAGGGAAGTCAGACTCAGAGGAGTGAAAACTCTCAGTTGCTGGGAGATTCCCTGGGTGGGGGGCACCTGACAGAGGACAGCTGTGTTACACCCAGGCCCTGTCTGACTGTGGAAGTCCTGTTCTCCCTGACACTGCAGCACCGCTCCCAGGAGGTTCCTATTATTGGGCCCAAGTGACAGACAACAGGCTAAGAGTGGTGAAGGGAGCTGCTGAAGCTCACACAGCCAGGAAGCCTCTGAGCTGGGTTTAAAACCAGATCACTTGACTCTCAAAAAAAAAAGCCCAGGTTCATTTATTTACCATAATCCTACACTGCCCCCAACACCAGGCAAGCAAGTCAATCAGGGCATGGCATCTATGGAGCAGATGTAGCTCTGCTAAAGTGAGGCCCAGGAGGGTGGCAAGGCCCACTGCTTTCTCAGGAAGCTTGACATCTCTTTGGTTTGGGGTTTTTTTTTTTGGTCCCAGGGATTGAACTCACGACCATGCGCTTGCGCTTCCCAGGGAGGCACTTAAGCCACTGAGCTAAATCCCCAGCCCCTGGTTTTGGTTTTTAAGGTAGGGTCACACTACATGGTTCAGGCTGGCTTTGAACTCACTACATACTCCAGGCTGGCCTGGAAATTGGAGCAACTCTTCTGCCTCAGCCTTGCAAGTGCTGGGAATACAGGCATGCCACCAGGCCTGATTTCAGATTTCTTTAGAACCTGCAAATAAAGATGGAAGTGAATGAAACACAAAAGATCCTCTCAGCATGGTCCTCTGAAGAGTGTTGTACAGCCTCATTTTACTGATGGAGAAAAAAGGCTTAGGGAAGTGACACAGCTTGCCCAGGGTCATGCAGTTGGGGGCTGAACTCAGGTTCACCTGGGATCAATGCTTTTGATTATGAAGGTCCTGATCCCAAGCCTGTCCTCTCCTTCCCCTTCCTAAGTCCCCATACCGTCTCTGCTTGAGTCAGAGTGGGGAAGAAGGGCTAGGACAGGGTGCGGAGAGAAGCCAGAGCAGAGTCCTGTGGCCCTTAAACTCCAGCTGCCCTAGAGGGGAGACTTGCAGGACGCAGACTGAGCCGTGGGAGGAAGCCCAAGCCGGGGTGCGGGTCCAGGCTCAGCAGAGGCCTAGAGGGATGAATACCCTGTGCTGGGTGATCAGGGCTGCAGCACACAGTGTGCTGGGCTGGGCTGGGCTCCAGCACAGGCTGGGGAGGGCCTGTGGGACAGCCACTGCCAGCAGCTCTCCGGCCACACTCCCAACGGCCACTCAAGGCAGCACAAAGCAGGCTCTGAGCTCAGCACACTGAGCCCCATTCATTCTCCTGAGGACCACAGCAACTGTGCTGGCGCCCACCAACAGCAGGCTGGGACCAGTGCTGGTCGACAAGGCATCTGTGCCCCGGCAACACAGCTGTGGTGGCCAGGGCTCCCGGGCTCACACGCCATGCCTGACCGCTTGGGCTCGCCCATCTTCGATAAGCGAGCCTCCTTCCTGTATGCCCCATCTCAGTCCCAAGAGATCCCCGTGTGCTGGCCAGGACGACTCCCAGGGGCTGCTCAGATCCCATTTCACAGGAAAGGAAATGGAGGCTCAGACAGGGCAAAGTCTTTTGTACACAACACAACAAGTTGGGAGTTGGCCTGGCCAGGAAGTCAGTACTGTCTGATGCCACAGCCAGGGAAAGTTAGCCCATGTCATACTGGAACTGTCTCCTGGGAGAGGCTGAGACACCCCCCCACCCCCCCAACCCCCCCAAACCCCCACCCCCGCTTTCAGCCTTCCACAAGGAAGACCCCAAGCTCCCACCAGACAACCTGATCCTCTGTTTCCTGACAACTCGGCCCAGCATCTCAGGTTATGGGGTTAGGGGTTGGATGATTCATTGTTTGTCTTATGCCTGCTCCTCTTTGGTCTCAGTTTCCTCATCTGTGAAATAGGGACAGATACCAGGATTTGCCTAATGGATCTGTTTTGTGGATCTTGGTGATGGTCTGTGGGGGCTTCTGGCTCAGCAGAAGGGTTGGGGTTGGGGCCCCTTGCTATTAAGTCCATGGTCCAGAAGCCTTATTTTTTCACTCAGATTTTGAGCGCAGGTCCATCTGTGAACAGCACTGTGCTGCTGTGACCTCAGGGCCGTGTCCTATCCCTGGAGAGCCTTGGGGTCCTCTTTACCTTCTCAGAAGACTTAGCTGGAGCCAGGTGTGGTAGACCATACCTGTAAACCCAGCATTCTGGAAGGCCAAGGCAGGAGGATGGCCAGCTTAAGCCCACCCTGGACAACTTATGATTTAGTGAGAACTTATCTCCAAATACATTTTACAAAGGGGCTGGGGAGAATGTAATTCAGTGCAAAAGCCATGGGTTCAATCCCCAGAATGACAATAATAAAAAAGTACAGGTCTGGGGATTTAGCTCAGCAGTATAAGCACCTGCCTGGCAAGCATGAGATCGTGAGTTCAATCCCCAGTACCTAAAAAAAAAAATACAACGGCTCCTCTGGGCCCCTCCCCACCAGGACCACAGCCAGCTGTCAGGCCTGGGGAGGTCACCTGAATGGAAGTCAGCATTTGAGACTCTGCAGCCTGACAAGCAACTTCCTGTTCCCCCTGGTGTGACGACTTGGGGCCATTATTAACATGGAGGATGCAGGAAGCGCCCATCTGAACATCAGCTCCTGTCTCACCCGGTTCCCAGCCCAGGAGCCAGGATAAGAGAGGCCAAGCCCGGGCCCAGGGCTGTGGCTCTGTGGTAGCGCCTGCATGAGGCCCTGGCACACATGTGCACACACACACAAACACACACAGAGACACAGACACACAGACACACACGTGTGCACACGCCAACTGCCCACAGATTGACAGTGCACTTTGCAGTGTCCTCACTGTGGAAATTTGGTGGCTGAGGCTTCAGAAGTAGAGACTATAAGGTGTCAACAGCACACACCTGGGTTTGAAGTCCCGAAATCTTGTGGCTTCTACAGGTGTCCAAGACAACCAGTGTGTGACAGGAGGTCACATTTTCTCATCTTGGTTCTGCATGCATAAGCTCTAGCATGCACATACACACACATGCCCACACACACATCCCCAAAGCAAAGAAGTTTTAAGGTGAACACTAGCTTGTGGGTTAGGGGATCTGGAAGGGCAAGGTTTTTGTTTTGTTTTTTGAAACAGGGTCTTGCTATGTCCTTCAGGCTGCCCGAAAACACATATAGCCTGGGCTGGCCTTGAACTCCATGATCCTTCTGCCTCAGCCTCCTGAGTGCTGGGATTACAGGTATGCACCGCCACAGCCAGTTTGGAAAGGCAAGTTGTAACCCAGTCTGTGTCACTGACTCACTGTGCAACCTAGGGAAAGCCTTCTCCTGCTCCGTGCCTCAGTTTCCCCATCTCTGTCTTACAGGTGTGGAAGAACAGGTCATAGGGTAGCTCCTAGCTTGGAAAGAAGCAACAATGCATCAGCAGGCATGGATTCTACACTAGGGTCTGCCTGGGGAAACGAACACGGGGCAAACTGAGGTCCAGGCAGGGCTCCCTAATCCAAGATCACACTGTGACTGAGCAGCCTGCCAAGCACTGAACTGGGGCCCGGTGGACTGGAGCCCCGGCCTACTCACAGCACTCTGCCCACCACAGCTGCCAGTCCATCTCCTTGGCACCAAGGCATGGGATGCAGTGTCCTGCACATCAACTTGTGTTCCTAGGGGCCAGTCCCCCTGGTGGCAGCTGCCAGGTCCCCCACGGCCCTGGCCCAGCGGGCACCAATCCCAGAGCCTGCAGTCTGTCTGTTCCCCAGCCCTCCCAGGTCCCGTGGGCTTGCACTGTGCCCCCTGCCCCTGCAGCGACTGAGGCCAAGGAGGCGGCCCTCAGGGTGAACAGGGAGGCCCCAGCCCCCGCCCCCTGCGGAGAGGGTGGGGGGTGGGGCTGTGGGAGTTTCGCTGGTTTAAAAATACACAGAGGAAGCCAGTAAGGGCAAGAGAAAGGGGAACGGGTGGGGGAGGCATTGCAACCCCGAGGTCCAGCGGCCCAGGGCTTTCACACGGCTCGCCAAGATGACAGAGGGGCCCAAGAAGTCCAGCAAAAAATTCAGTGAGTGTGGCTGTCCCTGTCTGTCTGTCCGCTCAGCTCCCCCTGCCTCTGGCTCTGCAGCACTGTCTCCTTTCTGTTTCTCTTTCTGTCCACTCCTGTCTGTCCCCAGTGCTTTGACATGTCTGCATCTGTCCACACCCTGGCCCAGGTCCCTCCTCTCTCTTTTTGAGCTGGCTCCTGCTGTCCATCCTGTTGTCCCTGTCTCTGTCCTCTACCGTCTCTTTGCTCTGCAGCATCTCTGTCTCCTTGCTCTGGAAACGGCATGGGAGACAGCTGCACGCCCCAGGCCCAGGTTCACCCGGGATCTCAGGGAGAGCTCTTGGGACTTACTAGAGCCAGGACAGGAGGCAGCGGGTGGCACTGTGGGGTGCTGTCCCCCCTACACCCATCAGCGGGGAGGCTGGAGATCCTAAAAAAGCTCCAGGGGGAGCCACTGTCACCTACAGTGGGGTTTCTTCCCCTAGTCGGGTCCCTACTGGCCCAAGCACACTGCTGTCCTCCGCTTCCATCTGACAGCAGCTGGGTGTGTGTGCGCATGCGCACGCGTGTTCCTGCATTCCACAAGTGGATATGCTGAGAGCCAAGCGTGCCCGGGATTTGATTTGATGGACTGAAGAGAAGGTCTTAATCCCATCCCTAGACTTATGGCCTCAGTTTCCCTTGCCATTTCCCTCTTGCTTACCTCCTCTGGACCCCTGGTATCCAGGAGACAGAGCCCAAGGCGCTGAGATGATGGGCAGTTGATGACCCTGTTTGGGCCCCTGGTGCAATCTCTATACCGTGCAGAGCTGTCTAAGAGCAGAGCACAGACAGGCAGTTAGGGGACCCAAACAGGCAGGGCTAGGGACAAAGCTGCAGGGGCCCACAGTCCCCAGCCACAGGCCTTCATCCGGTCTCAGCCGTGGCCACAGTGTGTGATATGGGCAAGTCCCTCTCCCTCCCTGGGCTTCATTTTCCACCCTTGTCACAGGGAGTGTCATACCTACATTCCAGCGTGGGTGTGAGGATGGAGGAGGTGGAAGACGCCAAGAAAGTGAAAAATGCCAGAGTTTTTCCTTTTTACTCATCTGGAGGCCATAGGGAAGTTGTATGGTGGTGTCCATGAGCGGGGACAGTCCCACGCTAAGGACAGGAAGGCGTGACCTCACAGCTTCTGTACTCCTGCGGAAGTGAGGGGAAGATGCTATCACCTGAGCATTGCACCTGAGCTAGGAACGGGGCACAGGAAGGAGAGGACCACAGATGATTGGGATGGGGGCCCTTGGGCTGGCAACCACTTCCTGTTCTTTCCCCCAATCCGTGGCACAGAGGCTGATGTGGACACTCCCTCCGGCCCTGCGGTTCATGTCAGTGGTTGTTCTTGTTTGTTTGTTGAGCTCATGGAAAACTCAGGCTGGGCTCAAACTCAGAGACCTTCCTGCATCAGCCTCCCATGTGCTGGAATTCAGGCTGCAGTGTAGTTTTTATTGTTGTTATCAGTGCTGTTGGCATTGTCCATGATTACTTTTCCTACCCTTCCTACTTTCCAGAGTTCTTCAAGTTCAAGGGCCTTGGGAGTCTCTCCAACCTCCCCCGGTCCTTCATTCTGAGACGATCTTCAACCCCCATCAATATCCGGTCTCCTCTGGAGCCTGACACCTTCGAGGCCACACAGGACGACATGGTGACAGTTCCCAAGAGCCCTCCAGCCTACGCCCGCTCCAGTGACATGTACAGTCACATGGGCACCATGCCTCGGCCCAACCTCAAGAAGGCTCGGGACAAACAGGCCACCCAGAAGGCCCAAGGGGTGGCCCCTGAGCCCCATCTGGGCCCTCGAGGTCTTCCCGATTCACCGGGCTCAGAGGCAGCCAAAGAGGAAGCGAAGGCTGATGGCCCCCTGGAGGACACCCCGGCAGAGGAACCTGGCCCTTCAGCGATGGAGGAGGACCCTATGAGAAAGCCTGAGGACCTCCCAGCAGACAAGGATCCGGGCGGATCTCCTCAGGATGCAGGCCCAGAAGGGTAGGTGCTCCCCAGGGGCGGGAGGGCGGGAACCGCAGGGATGGTGTCCTCAGCAACATCCAAGCCAAAGAGAAGAAAATCTGCACATTAATCAAGTGCTTACTACAGCCAGACATTGTGCTGACCCTGACCATAACATTCTCAGAGAAAATTACCAAGGGGAGGCTTCTATTGTTTCCAAAGGACAGCTGCGAAACTCAGTCGCAGGGAGGGGAAGTCACCTGTCCCAGTCGGGCTGCCCCAGTATCCTTCTCCTGCCACTCTCTCCCTTAATTCAGCCTCACGCAGGCGTGGAGGAAAGCAGACTGACTGAAGCGAAAAGGGCCGATAAGTCCTAGGGAGTTCTGAGGTTCCCCAAGCCTGGGAGCCTGGCTGCTGGGCCCAGGTCTCTGACTGCCTGGCGCGGGAGGGGCGGCGACAAGGTCGTGCTTGGGGCGTGGCCTTTCCTAGATTCGCCGAACCACAGGAAAAGGGCGGGGAGAGGGTGGGAGGAGCGTTATCTGTGGGTGTGGCCTATACTGGCTTTAGACCGAGGAGAAAGGGGCGGAGCGAGAGAGGATAGCGCAAGGAACCGGCCTTTCCGCGAATAGTACTCAGTAGAGGGGGCGGGGCAGAAGCCAGGGAGGCGTGTCGGGCGGGGCTACCGATCGGGCCCCGCCCCTGGAGTCCTGCTCTGAGCTCCAGTTTCGCTGTCTGAGAAAAGCGGCAGTCGCCGAACTGACGACTGCAGGCTGCTGCTGTCAGCCACCGCGGGAAACTATGACTGCAGTGGGCAGAAGATGCCCAACGCTGGGGCCCCGAAGGTGAGTGATCGGGCTGGGCCCAAGCAAGGCCAGCGAGTGGCCTAAAGGGGAGTTCCGCATCCCGGGAGCGAGTGACAAACCTGGGTGTGGGTCCGGCATCTGGGACTTGGTCTGTGTGCGTGTGTGCCCGCGCTGCTGGAGATTGAACCCACGGCCTTTCCACTGAGCTGTGTCCCCCAGCCCTTATTTAGCTGGTTAATTTTGAGAAAGGATCTCCCTCAATTCCCCAAGTGGGACTTGAACTTTTCATTCTCCTGTCTCAGCCTCCTAAAAGGCTGACATTCTGGGCATGTGCCAGCCACCATGCCTAGCCGTCTGGCTACTCTAGGTCAGCCTTCTTTGGGTCTAATTCTCTCCCCAGCCCTGCCCTGCTCAGGCTGGGCCTCTGTGCCTCAGAACTGTCCTGAGAGAGGGCTTCTTAGTACCCCTATTTTGTGGTTGAGGGAAGAAAGATTTGAGCTTGGACATAGCTTAGTGGCGCCTGGCAAGTGCAAGGTCCCCAGTTCGGTTCCCAGTACAAAAAATAGCAAAAAAAAAAAAAAAAAAAAAAAAAAAAAAAAAAGAGAGAGAGAGAGAAAGATTTGCTTGCCATTTGGACATGTAAGTGGAAGCCAGGAGCAGGGCCACACACTGACACTTTGGTATGCGTGCCCCTGTAGCAGGGCCAGGGTCTATGATCGAAGGTGTGGGGAGCCTTGAGAATCCCAAGTCAAAATCCTTGCCTTTCTCCCAAGCCCAAGCCTTTCTCCCTGTAGGCAGAAACCTGCTGGTCCTGGCAGTGCCTTCTGCATCAGGCTTGGCCTGGAGCTGTCAGAGGAAATGGACAGACATCCCCCATCTCCGCCATCGCCAGAGTATCCTGAGGTTCTGGGAGCCAGCCAGACTAGGCCTTATCCAAGGGCTGTAACACCCAGCATCCCACTGCCCTCCAAATACTGCACACATTTCCCCTAAGAGTCCCCAAACCTTTGTTTGTGGTTGGGGCACCAGGGGAGACCCCTTCCCTTATGACCGTATCCCACAAGGGTCTGCAAGGGCCTGGGTGGGGTGAGAATAGCCAGAGAAGAGGATGGATCCCGCTATCCGAATCTCCAGAGGGATTTGCTCACTCTGGTGGGGGGGGGGGCAGCCTGCACCTGGAGCAGGAGGAAGGAAGGGGAAGAGGTGAGGCTGCAGGAGTTTCCTGGTGCTCTGTTTGTTGCTGAGATCCTGGGGGGTGGGGGAACATCCAACCAGTGCCCAGCACCCGAGGACCCAGAATCCCTATGAAGAGAGCCTGAGAGCCCCCTCAGCCCCTAGCACAAAGGAAGAGGAGGGGAGCCCTGGAATTGGATGGAGCCTCCAGCACAGCTTGCCCCACCCCCACAGTAGTTGTTAAGCCAGGGTCCCCAGAGAGGGTCATGAAGTGGCTGACACAGCTTTCTGGGGCCTGAGAGGGGGCACCTGTGTTGCTGCATTTTATCAGTGAGAACCAAGGCTTAGAGAAGAAAAGGACTCTCCTGGGGTCACAGGTCAAGCACTGGTCCTAGATTTGCCCTAGGCCTGACCAACACCCGAGGCCAGGATCTTAAGTACAGGTCATCTTTCTGCTCCTGTAAGTAAAAACCTCAAAGCCTGGTTTGCCGTTGTTTTAAGTGACTTTCCATAGCACTCTGGGAAGGAGGTGACAGGAGCCCATTTTGCAGATGCTGACACTGAAGATGTTAATAACAGCATGCAACTGGGTGTGGTGGCACACACCTGTTATCCTAGCACTCAAGAGACTGAGGCAGGACTGCTGTGAGTTTAAGGCCAGCCTGGACTACACAGCATCTCAAAAACAAATGAACAAAGCAAAGAAACCAAAACAGATAATTTGCTGGTGATCTCAGTTAGTGGTTTTAGCATTCTCTCATGTTTATGTTTACTGGGGTTCACCCATGCCACTAGCCTCTGGGGAGGGAGCATTGAGCATGGCAGATCCTCACCCTGGAACCCCCGGGCCAGTGCAGGGAAGAGAAATGGTGAAGCCAAGAGATGAGTTATATGTACAACTAGAAGAATAAAGAGCCACCAAGAAAATGTAAAATCAAGTGAGGGAATTGATCTTGGGGGAATGGCTGGAGGTGGCGATGTAGGAAGATTAGTCAGGGGAAAAAAGTCTGTGTGAGGAAGTGATGTTTAAACAAAAGAATGAGGGACAAAGCCTCTTCCTGTCTGAGGAAGTGCACGTCAAGGTTTGAGAAGAGCACATGCAAAGGTCCTAAGGTAGAAAAGTCCTCGGCATGTTTGAGGGACAAAGAGCCAGAGCCCAGAGTAACTGAAGCAGAGTAGGATGAGGGAGATGGGAAAGCAGAGAGGAGAAATCAGAGAGAAAGTGGTTTTAGCTAAACCAGCAAGGACTTGTTGGCGCAGTGACATGGAAGCCACAGCTGGCCTTGGGCTGGAGGGCCCGACTTTAAAGAGTTTCCCAGGGCTCTCTCCCATTAGGAGGATCTGAAAGCCATTCTGCTTCACTTGGTGTGGCGTCGCCAAACGTTCTTTGCCTCACACCTGACCACTCAGGCTGTTTGGAGCAGAGCTGGGGCACCCTGAGTTACCCCAGCCTGGCCCTGGTGCCAGGCACCAAGAAACAGCCACCCCCACCCCCATTTCCTTTAGGAATGTTGATTCTGGTCCAAGCATTCCTGGCTCTCCCCAGAGTCCCACGACCCTCTCTCGGCCTGTAGGTGACGTCAGCGACCGGGCATCTGGTAGTGATTACCCACCGGGGAGGGGGCTTTGGGCCCGGGCCCTGCAGCCTCCTTGGGCTCACGAGGCAGCCATCCTTGTCATTTGAAGGGGCCCAGCTGCTCCTGCGTCTCATTTCCTGTGAAGACTTTCTCACAGTCCCAAGACCCTGGACGCCTTGTGTTGTGGGAACCAGGCTGTCGGGGGAAGGATGGACCCCGCCCCCACCACAACCACGCCCCCCCCGCGGCCCCACGTGGGTCGAAAGGGGGACTGCCAGATGGAAGGCAAGGGGCTCAGGGTGACACACTCAGCAGCTCATGTGCCCAGGGAAGGAGCCCTTCCGTCTCTGAGCCTCAGTTTCCTCATTTGTATACTGAGGTCCGGGGCAGCACCTGCAGGGTTACCGTGTTTGTCCTGGGCCTGGACCCAGAAAGGGCCTGGAAGGCATGGAGCTGCTTGTGCAGAGGAAACAGATGCAGGGTGCTTTCCCAGGTCATGGCTTTTTAGGTGCCAGCTGGAAGCCTCCATGACACAAGAGGGTCTTTTTTTTTTTTTTTTTTTGTCTTTTTCGTTTTTATCAGTACCAGGGATCGAACTCACGACTGCCTGCTTGCAAGGCAGGCGCTTATGCCACTGAGCTAAATCCCCAGCCCCAACACAAGAGGGTCTTTTCTCCATCACCCATTCCCCATCCTGGCCTCAGGTGTGGGCTCCTGCCTAGTGTGTGTGTGTGTGTGTGTGTGTGTGTGTGTGTGTGTGTGTGTGTTTGAGACAGGGTCTCACTATGTAGTTCAGACTGGCTTTGAAGTCACCTGTAGTCCAGGTTGGCCTTGAACTTTCAGCGATCCTCCTGCTTCAGCCTCCTGAGTGCAGGGATTGCAGGTATGCACCACTGTGCCCAGCCTGCCTGGTTGAATATGATTCTTGTTCACCCTCTGCTCCCCAGCTTCTCCTGTTTCCACGCAGCAGCAGCTCGCAATTTCCAGGGGATCCCACCCTGCTGACGACTGGGGCAGAGAGCTTGGGCTCTTTGCTGGGAGCAGCCGTTCTCCCTGGCTCAAGTGCCAGTTCTCTGTGCTGTAAAGTGGAGCTCCTGGGTCATAACACGCAGTCAGCACTCATGTGCCTGCCCAGGTACACACCTGTACTCCCAGCACTGGGGAGGCTGAGACAGGGCGATCACCACAAATTCAAGGCCACTTGGGGATATATAGTGAGTTCAAGGCTGGCCTGAACTACACAATGAGACCTTGTCTCGAAGAAAAAAAAGAAAAAGAGAAAGAAACAAGTGCCCACCCATATGTGCTTGTACACTGGTTTTCATTTTGTTTGTTTTATTTTTTATTTTTTGGTACCAGGGATCAAACTCATTACTGCACGCTTGCAAGGCAGGCGCTTATGCCGCTGAGCTAAATCTGCAGCCCCAGTTTTAGTTTTTTGAGACAGGGTCTCACTCTGTAGCTCAGGCTGGCCTTGAAATCGCAGTGATCCTCCTGCCTCAGCCTCCTGGGTGCTGAGATTTCAGGAATGCACCATGAAGTCCAGCGTGCAGTGGGTTTTGAGTGTCATGAGCAGCCCTGGGCTCAATACCCTCAGCCATCCCTTGGGCATTGATCTGCCCTGTGGGGAAGGGGCAGGGACCCATCCAGCCCCCAAGTGGCCCATCTCCATCCAGGGCAGGGGATAAAGCCAGGAGCCTTCCCAGCAGGGTCCCACCCACAGCCCCAGGGTTGGAATCCCAGGAGGAAGGGTCAGGGCTTCCCAGCCCTCTGCCCAAGGCCTCTCACTTCTCTAGCAGGGTGGGTGGAGATTGGGGTGGGGCAACCCCAGCCCCCCAAGAGCAGAGCATGATGGTCCCCTGGGCTGGGTGTGCCCAG